GCCAAAGTCCATCGGAAACAAGGTCACCCGAGCAGCAGCAGATGCCACCTTTCACGCCGGTGGAAATCACCACGGCAATTCCACAGTTCAAGGGCGGCAAAGCAACAGACACCAACGGAATTCGAGCTGAAATGCTTCAACGACCAGGGCCAGAGCTCCGGTGCGCCTCATTGCAGTTGTACAACGCTATCATACGGGCAGCTGCCCCCATACCAGCTAGCTAGTGAAAGACCGTTAACACTCACCCAGTCTGGCGACTTAGCGCTTCCACGCAATTATCGTCCGATTTGTGCAACGCCGATGCTATAAAGGCGTTTCAGCCAACTGCTGAACAACATGTTACAAACAACTTTGGACCGACAGCAACCTGACGACCAAGCTGGCTTCCGCCCTGACGTGGGCGCGCGTGACCACCTTCTCACTTTCAGCATTCTACGTGAAAGAGCAGCCGAATTGGATCAGAACCTCTGGGTCGCAGCCGTGAAATTCGAAAAGGGTTTTGACAGTCGAGCACGACAGTTTGTGGGCAGGTTTACTTCACCAAGACGTCCCTCCAGGTACGTAGACCTTCTGTGGCGCTTGTACGAAGACCAAACTGCCGTGGTCCGCGCCGACGTTGACAGCAACCTTTTCGACCTCCGACGCGGCACACAGCAGGGGGGATCCTTTGAGCTCATTGCTGTTCAACGCACTGATCCAACACGTCTTGGCTCCACTAATCCCAGTTTGGCAGTGACGACGCTGAGGCGTCCAGCTCGGTCACACAGACGAGTCGAAACTCACGTACCTTCGGTTTGCAGACGACATCTTGCCCACAAACCAAACAATGCCAACTTTCACGACAGTGTACTCTGACCTCGCCACCTCGGCCAAGCCAGACGGATTTGAATTGCACCCAGCCAAAACAAAGATTTTTGACCAATCAGCCTCGGCACCGCGACTGGGTGGCCAAAGTAGCAGGGATGGCAATCGAAACGCTGCCACGAACCAGCACCATCACCTACCTGGGCCAGACCGCTACTTTCCACTGGACGACGATAGTGACGACGAGGACACGCAACCGGGCACTCTGCAGGACGACGTCGATTTGTGGTCCGACTTAATCCGCAGGAGCACGCGGAGGGCAAACATAATGATGCTTAAACATGACATACCTGATATACTACGAATGCGCCGCAGAATGTTTCGGCGCTGGGCGAATACTGTGTTCCACCATCCCCTACACGGCCCTACACGCTGGATGCAGACAGTGCTTTCTTGTAGCCCACATCTCAACATTCGACAACGAGGGCGCCTGCAACATAGGGGTCAGCCCAAGAGATGGGACGACGACGTCCAGAAGTCTTTCCACAGCTTGAGCGGGCAGTGGTGCGACGCCGACGCTGGGCAGAACCAGATGCGGGCGGCGACCGAGCCAAAACAACACGAGCACAGCAGCTCGAACAACTCGAACGACTTGCGATGGTTACCAGCCGCAGAGGTCACTGAATGTTGGTTACGACGTGAGCCGCCTGCATATCACATTTTGGAGACCACGGCCTTCACGCCGTGCCCTCACGGGCAAGGGCGGGCTCCCCAAGGGAGCGCGCACGACTCCGGCGCTCGCTTCGCTTCGTTTTGCTTCCTTGCCTCCTTCCCTCCTTCCTTCCAGACCTGTCTCACTTCTCTTTCCTTCCTCCTTTCCTGCTGCCTGGCTCTCTCCCCCCATCTTCCATCATTCTTACTTCCCGTTCTGCCCTTCCCTCCCTCCTCCTTCCAGCGGGGTGGCGGCGGATCGACAAGAGAACGAAGTTTCTGACTCGCGGCGTGGCTTTCGGAGGCCACCGCCGTGGAGGGTGGGAAGGGTTTGGAGGGGATTCCGCTCCAAAGCAGTCGCCGGGAATCGTTTGGGGATCGCTTCGCCTCCTTCTCCTCCCTCCCTCCCTTCCTCCTCCCCCTCCTCCTCCTCCTCCTCCTCCTCCTTCTCCGTCCTCTACTCCCTCATCCCTTCTCTTCCTTCGCCTTCCCTTGTCCTTATGTTCCTCTTCACTCCTCCCTCCCTCCCTGTCTTCCTTCTCCTACCTTCTTCCCTCCACCCTCTTCCTCCTCCGTCCTCCTTCGCCCTCCCGGCTGTCGCTTAACCCTCCTCCCCTATGCCCCCTCATCTTATGTCTTGATCGTCTTCCTCCTCGCCCCTCTTCCCTCCTCCTCCTCCTCCTCCTCCTCCTCCTCTTCACGGCGGAGCGTTCCGGGTTTGCCTTCGTCCATTTCTGATCGATTGGCAACCCGAAAGGCCAGGGGGCCACGACCGTGCGCGTCGGCCTTCGCGAGGGGCTGCAGGCACGTGAATGGAAGCGTCCCCCGAGGCGGTGGTCTTGCACTGAGGTCTCCTCTTCGGTTCCGTGCTTCGCAGGGTGCCCTTGCAGCACGGCGCGCCAAGCGATTGGTCACGGCGTCGGGGCGCAGACTTTTTCAGTTGCTGCCAGTTTGACGATCAAGCTCACCACCTACCAGACCACCCCAACCCAACCCGAAGGCCTCAATTTGCCCTCCATTTCCAGTGGGGGGGGGGTCGGGGAACGTCGAAAAAACACATGAAACCCGTACCCCCCCCAACCCGAAATTCGGGTCAAATTCGGGTCTTCGGGTTGGGTTGGGGTGGTTTGGTAGGTAGTCACAAGCGCGACAGCCATGTGGCCCAGAAGTGACGCCGACGATAAGGTGCCTGGTCGAGTTTCAGGGAGGACGGTGAGAGGTTGCCGTTTGGATCTGCTTCTTCGGGTGGGCCGTCGTGGGAAGTTTTGAGGGGTGAGACTTCGTAAACATGTGCACCCTACGGCGTTGCAGTGTCGGCCTAGCTTTTCGTTCACCATAATCGGGAGAGTAAGTGCTGCAGTTGCAGGGCATGTGCAAGTAAGCACATAGCGGTAACCATCTTCAGGTGCTTAAGTCAAGTAACAACGATTATGACCAATTAGAGGTGTTGGCGACGATGCTAATACTTGTGGATCTCAGCGCGCAAAGTCAAGGCTGGCCACATATTGGCGACATCCAAGTTTTAGATATATCGCTGTGTGCGAGTGTAAGGAGCCACGGCTAAGGTACACCGAATCTCCAGCTACTTACGCAGGACGAAAGATCTTCCTCTTGAGGTGAAAATGGCCATGAGGATTTCGCGGGATACCGTCGGCGCCGCCGAACGGACGGCGACCAGACGTGCTGTTTGCAGCATCCGGGGTGAGAGGGATGTATGTATTCATGTTGAATGGGGCCCGCTCGCGCGGGGAGTTGATGGGAGTGCGCGAGACGGCGCAGCGCCCATCGTGGAAAGTTAAGTACCGACCCCCCCTTCCCCTGTAGAATCTTAACATGGGCGGTTTGTGGGGTCCGCGGATCCGATTTCTTCCGGTTCCCTGGTTTAGTTTAATAACATACATTTAAAACAGGGTAGAAATCGGATCCGCCGTGAAAAATAAGACCGAACACGGATCCAACGAATCCGAAATCGGATCCGCGCGGACGGAAATCGGATCCATTGAAACACAGACAAAAACCAAAATTGGACCCGCGCGAACTTCATTGGATCCGACGGCGGGTATTTCACACGCGTCTGCTTAAGACTTCAAACCTTCGCTCCGGGCCCAAGAGGAAAAAACTTTCGTCCTGGGGATGTAAGTTTAAGCTCAACTGAAGCTACGCCGAGCTCTGCCAAAGTCAGGCTCAGACTGAGCTGACACTTTACTGACGCAACGCGCCAAAATCAAGATCATTGCGTGTTGACGCCGAAATCGTAGACGCTTCGCAGCACTTGTGTGTGTGTTTGTGTGTATGTGTGTGTCTGTGTGCTAGCGTACTTTTTGAAACCTTAGGTTCGGAAGGTCCCTGGGAAGCCGGAGAAGCACGCTGACCTGGGGTGCCGGTGGCAGCAACCGAATGCCTACCTTTACATTCTCCAAGCAGGGCTTCTCCTCGAGCAAGCCTGGCTGGGGAAAGCAGATTCGGCTCAAGCAGTTCGAGCGCACCCTGTGGTGGTCAGAAGAACAACGCCAGGTCCTGCATCGAAGGCGGCGATACCCCACCACCATCCCTGGCCAGGGCTATCCTGAGCCTTCGAATGGTGTGCAGACCCTCTTGGTCGAGGCCAGGGGGTTGTATACGCCATCGCTGGGCCCGAACCAGCCCTGGCAAGGGTCGGTGGTGGTGTGGGGCTGCCGCTTCCGAAGGCCCTCCCGCAGCCGCGATGAACACGGCCCACGGCTGCGCACAGGGCCTCCTGCCCTGTGCCCAGGGCCTCCTCCCGCAGCGTGCACCCGCGGTGTACATGACACCGGCGCTGGGCGGTGGCGGTCCGGGGATGGCGCACGCCACACAGGCGGGCCCGCCAGTCTTCAGCGCCCCAGCCGTGCCCGTGACGTCGCCGGGGGGGATGCTGTCCGTGCGGGTCTTCGAGAACGAAAGAGCCTCTCGGAGTCGCGTGACCGACCCCTGTCCCGATCCCCATCCCCATCCCCATCCCCATTCCGAGCCCGACGATCTCAGCACCCCAGATGGGGATGTACCCTTCGAAACCCGAAGGCAACAGCCTGTATCTCCATCTACGTGGGGGGTTTAATCAGCCAGTGCGGCCCTGGCAATGAATACGTAGCCTAACTTTGGTTCCCGCCTTTGCACCAGGGATTATCAATCTGGGTGGTTTGGCTTGACACATCTGCTGAAACGACCCCCTACGACTAATGTTTTGGGTCTCTTACTTACCTCAGGTCCGCTCCCAAAGTCGGCGGCGAGCGAGGGGGGCAAATGAAAAGGAGAAGGCCTTTTTAGCAGGCGGCGGGACTTCTCAGAAGCCCTTCCGCGCCTTCGGAGAGGCTTATTGCGTCTTCGGGGAAAGCTTAGAGAACACTCCTCGGAAGGCCACGGGACTTCCGGGCCTTCTGAGAAGGCCCGCCCCTCCTCGCCTTCCCCCCGCCCCCAGCGCTCGCCGCCGACCAACTGCTCCTCAGGTCCCGCCGCCGGCTCACAGCATGCCGGCCGCGCCCCTGCCGCTGACGACGCAGGGTGTCTCACCGGCAGGAGCTCGGAAGGAGCCTCGGGCCCTCCCCGACGGGCGGCCGGCCAGGGGGGGCAGCCCTCTGGGCCTCCCAGACGGGGTCGGAGGATCGATTCTATCCACGCCGACGTCGCCGATGCGTCGCCGATGCGTCGCCGATGCGTCGCCGATGCGTCGCCGACGTCGCCGCCGCCGCATCGCCAATGCATCGCCGATGCATCGGCATCGGCGATGCGGCGCGATCCTCCGACCCCATCTACTCGGACCCCACCCAGGAGGCCTCTAGGCTCGGGGGAGGCCAGGCGTATCTCAGAGCAGAGGTACCCCTTGACCCAGACCCCCTCGGGTCACGAGAAAGTCACGGCGGGAGGTTTTTTCGGTCTTTGATGGCCCTGGGGACCCTCGCCAGGCCTCGGGACCTTCAAAGCCCTCTCAGAAGGCGGCGGGACTTCTCAGAAAGGCCTCCGGCCTTCTGAGAAGTTTCTTTTGCACTTCTCGGAAGGCCGGGGGGCTTCCGAGCCTTCTGAGGAAGGCCCGCCCCTTCGCTTTTCCCCCTCGCTCGCCGCCGAGAGGTGCCCCGGAGAGGAGTCCTCGGGGCCAACCTCTGGACGCCGAGGGGCCGGGTTTTGGCGTATGCCGTGGCCGGAGTCGTGGCCCTTGCGACGCCTCACTGGGGGGTGCGTCACCCTCGGAGGTACGCTGAGCCCCTCCCGAGATGGCCGCGGAGGCGGCTGGGTCATGGAGCCTTTCCAGCCGCTCCTCGACCGTCTGCCACGAGGTATGCTCGCAGGCCCGTCGCGCGAACGCGTGTTGGCAGTCCTCCTCAGGACGTGCCGAGCGCACGATGGGACGCAGGCGGGACGATGCATCCTAGACCCTAGAGCGCCTGCCAGCCAGCAGAGACGGTTTCCAAGTCACTTCCTTTTTGGTCTGACCTCGACACGAACGAACTGGGTACGGAAAGAATGGGTACGATGCCCAACAGCAGCTTCTGTTCGTTTTGAATAGGACTCGCTGTCCGCGCCGCCGCGGACGGTGTCCACTTGAGACAGAAGGCTACCTGCTCAATAGTGGCCGCTGCCGGTTTTGGACAATATATGCTGTTGTGCATCGTGCCCATTTATTCGGTATCCATTTCGGGCGCCCAGAGAATCCCCTTCTAGGGAGATTCTACTCAGGAGGTGGAGGTGCGCGTGACGACGCCGCGCATGGAGGGCAATGACCCCATCACGCGCAAGTGCCGCGAGATCTTCATGCGCATCGACGCGAACAGCGACGGAGCGGTGAGCAAATTGGAATTCGTGCATTCTGTCGCCAGGGATTCGACCGTTTCTGCCTTTGTGCTGCCTGGGGAGGATAACAGCAATCTTCTTCAGGACGAGTCCAAGTTCGATGCAGCCGAGGAGGCGTTTGAGGCCATTAGCGCGGACAGGAATCGAATCAACTTCTCTGACTTCGTAGCGCACTTCCGCAGGGTCATGAGCGAAGATAAATCGGACAAAGGTGAGATGAGGGCAGTCTTCGACGCTATCGATACCGATGGGAGTGGTTCGATTTCAAAGCTTGAACTCGTCGCCGCGATGCAGGGCAACCCTCGTGTGGCCCAGTTCGTGATGCCGGGTGTGGACAGCAGCAAGGTGATGCAAGAGGAGTGGAGCTTTGATATGGTGAGCACGGTCTTCCAGGCCATCTCTCATGGCAAGCGCCGCATCGACTTCGCAGATTGGCTCGCGTACTTCCAGCGCGTGAAGAAGGCAAACAATGCTCCGAACCTGACGCGGACAAAATCGCAGGTGCACCGAAAACGGACGAGCACCGTTGTGCTCGTCATTGGTCCAGGGCAGGGCCGCGGGCTTGAAGCCTCCGGCTTCCAGGTGCACTTCAGCGCAGCGCCATGCCCAGACCAACCCGGTTTCCCAATGCACGCCTACCTGGGCCATGTCAGGGCAGAATTAGACCGGGTGCAGCCGGATGTTGTTGTGGCTTTCTCGTCTGGCACCGCGTACGCGGTGGGCCTCTGGCAGTGTGGCTGGCGGGGGCCCGCAGTGCTCGTCAACGTACACCCGAGTTGCACGGTGCTGCCTCCCGACTGCAACGTGGTGCTCGCGCACGGCTCAAACGACGAGCGATACCCCAGGGCTCGCGAGCATTTGGAGTGGCTCCTGACTACGGGCGATCCGAGCAAAAGCTTTCTCCTGTACACTGCGAACAGCGGGCAGTTGGCCACCGGACAGTTCTCGCGGTTCGGCGACCGGCACAGCATGGAATCTCTCAGGTTGCATGACAGCCTGGCACGTCTTGTCGATGCCGCGCTCAGCCCCGACAGCCCAGATTTGTACTTCCTGCGCACGTGCCGCGAGAGAATGACGCAGGTGCGCCTGGATGCCGAGGGAAGGCTGGGATACACGCCCGAGTCGCTGCGGAAGCTTTGGGTATCCCCGAACCAGCGGGGGATGGACCGCCAGAAACTCTTCGACGTGCATCCTGGGAGTGAGGAGTTCGGCGGCGCGCGCAAGGGGATGGGCAAGGGGCTTCTTCGAAACCTTTCTTGCTTCTCAGAAGCTCTCTCAGAATCCCGGCGGCGAGCCCAGGGGGGGAGCTGAGAAGGGGCGGGCCTTCTCAGGGGGCCCGGAAGCCCCCTGGCCTACCGAGAAGATTTTTTCGAAGCCTTCCCCGAAGACGCAGAAAACTGCTCAGAAGGCGCGATGGCTTCTGAGAGGTCCAAACGCCTTCTGGGAAGGCCTCCTCCTTCTCACCTCTCCTGGGGCGCGCCGCCGATGGAAGCCTCCGGACTCCAGACCCCTCCAAGAAGCCCCCCCGTGCCTTCTTCGACGGCTGGCCCGCTCGCGTCACTCCCCTGTGTGCGCCGCCAAGGAATTCCAGCTCGTCTCCACGGTCTTCAAGTCTCAGCCCCACGAGGCACCGACGAATCATCCGACGACGACCTCGACGACGATTGCGACGACGACGACGACGGCCCCTCACGAGGCACCAACGTATCCGACCACGGACGATGACGACGATGGCGACGACTGACGAAGCCGACACTCCGCGAGGTACCGACGTATCCGACGACGGACGATGACGACGACGACCGACGAATGAGGACGACGACGACGTCGACGACGACGACGACCGCGACGACGACCCCCCACGAGGCACCGACGTATCCGCTCAAGCCCAAGGAGGTCTGGAATATGGCAAGGGTAGTGCGCGTGCAGCGGGTCGAGAATGGCACCCAGTTCGACGGGAGCGTTAAGCCTTACTTCGACTCTTTGCGGACGTCGGTCGAGGGTCAGGATTGGGACACCCAAACCGACACAATAATGACGTTTCATAGGGCCGCCCATTTTTCTTGGGCTAGCGCTGGACTCCCCCCCCCGCACCCCTGGCAGCGCCTCTGGCGCCGTTCCCTGGCGCGCTCCGCACGCTGGGGGCTGGGCTGTGGGGAGGGTGATCCAGCGCGACCCCCAACAGATCCGCGCGGACCTTGGACAATTTATGTTTATGGTGGTTTTTTGGTCTTCTGTAGGATTTGGTGTTCGAGCCTGGAACGCACACCGTGTGGGGTTTCCACGGTGCGGACCTCGCCGCGATCGAGTCTATCGTGGAGAACCCAGCGTCTGGCTTCCAGCCGCTGGTATCGGGCACCAAGAAGGCTACATTGTGGACAAAAGGGCAGGGACGAGAAGAAAGGAGAGAGAGAGAGAGAGAGAGAGAAAGAGAGAGAGAGAGAGAGAGACAGAGATTTTGTTGTGTGGTCCAGCTATACGGCGTATCTGTACATCAACTAGTATGGCTGACCGGGAATTTGTGGCAGGCCGCAGGATCTCTCGTTTTTATTGTGCGTTCTAACGCAGTTATGAATGTATGCATGTATGTATGCATGCATGCATGTATGTACGCATGCAGGCATGCATGTATGCATGTATGTCTTTATGGATGCATGCATGCGTGCATGCATGCGTGCGTGCATGCATGCCTGTCTGTCTGTCTGTCTGTCTGTCTGTCTGTATGTATGTATGTATGTATACATGCATGCATGTATGTATGTATGTATGTATGTATGTATGTATGTATGTATGTATGTATGTATGTTGATGTGTATGCATGCACGTATGTATGTATGCATGCATGCATGCATGCATGTATGCACGCACGCGTGCATGTATGTATGCATGTACGCATGCATGTATGCATGTATGTGTGTATGTGTGTATGCGTGCATGCGTGTATGTGTGTATGTGTGCATGTGTGTATGTGCGTATGTGTGTCTATGTGTATGTGTGTATGTGTGTATGTGTGTATGTGTGTATGTGTGTATGTGTTTACGTGTGTATGTGTGTATGTGTGTATGTGTGTATGTGTGTATGTGTGCATGTGTGCGTGTGTGTGTATGTGTGTACGTGTGTACGTGTGTGTGTATGTATGTATGCATGCATGCCTGCCTGTCTGTCTGTCTGTCTGCATGCATGCATGCATGTATGCATGCATGTATGTATGTATGTATGTACGTATGTATGTATGCATGTATGTATGTATGTATGTATGTATGCATGTATGTATTTATGTATGTGTGTATATGTGTATGTATGCATGTATGGATGTATGTAAGAGTGAGGGGGCCGAACTGTCATTCATTGTCCCTGGGTGCGTGGCTGAAGTGAGGATCCGTGGTGAGGATTGATTCTGCTTGTGTTGTTGTTGTTGTTGTTGTTGTTGCTTGTTGTCGTCGTCCCCCCCCCGCGGCCCACCCGCGACCCACCCCGCGACCCACCCCGCGACCCACGCCGCGGCCCACCCCACGACCCAACCCGCGACCCACCCGCGACCCAACCCGCGACCCCCCCGCGACCCACCCCGCGACCCACCCGCGACGCACCCGCGACCCACCCCGCGACCCCCCCGCGACCCACCCCTCGACCCATCTGCGACCCACCCGCGACCCACCCGCGACCCACTCGCGACTTACCCGCGACCCACCCGCGACCCACCCGCGACCGATCCACATTGGTTCGAAGAAAAGATCGGTGCTTGCGGCGGGCTCGTGGTATATTTTGTGAATCTTTGGCGCCTGCGTCGGGCTTCTCCAGAGTCTCGCAGACTGCCACGTTCCCACCGCCCCCTGACTCTTATCCGCATCTGCGGGGTGCTACGGTTATGTATGTATATGCGTATACGTATGTATGTATGCTTGTAGGTATGCATACAAGTATGAATGCATGTATGCCTGCCTGTCTGCCTGTCTGTCTGCATGCATGTATGTATGTAGATTTGCATTTATGTGCATACGCATATTATATATATGTATGTATGCACATATGCATGTATGTGTGTATGTATGCATGCATGCATGCATGCATGCATGTATGTATGTATGTATGTATGTAGACATGCTGCATGCATGCATGCATGTATGCATGTATGTTTGTGTGCATGTGTGTATGTCTGTCTGTCTGTTTTTATGTTTGTAAGGTATGTAGGTATGCATGCATGCATGTAGGCATGCATGTACATATGTATGCATGTATGTACGTATGTCTGTACGTTTGCATGCATGCATGCGTGCATGCATGCATGCATATATGCATGCATGTATGTATGCATGTATGCATGTGTGTAGGTCTACATGCATGTACATATGCATGCATGCATTCATGCGTGTATGTATGTATGCATATATGAATATGTATATCTATCGAGCTTTATACGCATCAATAGAGATAGGGATCTATACATGTATATGTGTATATATATAGAGATATAGAGAGAGGGAGAGAGAGGGATGTATATACATTCATATATATACATAGAGAGAGAGAGAGAGAGAGAGAGAGAGTGAGAGAGAGTCGAAGAGTCGTATAGGGCTAGTGAGACGAAGGCATCGTTGTGGGGCTCCGGCACGTACTTCGCGCGCGACGCCAAGTACGTGGCGGAGGGCAACTTTTGTGCCCCGCCGGCGGGTGACGGGACGCAGAAGATGCTGATGTGCTTGCTCGGGTCCGGGATGCCGTGCCTGGGGAGCCCGGAGCACCGCGGCGTCTCGCCCTTGGCGTTTGCGCGGCCCTGCCGATTGGCGCGATTGCGCACCGCGTTTGTTCTTTTGATCCTGGCTCTGGCCGATCTTAGGGTCGGACGGTTGTTTCCCTGAACAACTTGATCTGCAAGGGTTCTTTGTTCTCTGGCTGGAAAGGCTTCCATGCGATCGAACAATTAGATTGGGAAGGCCTTACGGCCGGTGCCGCCGACCCTGAAGGGGGACGACGACCCCGACGGCGGCGTCGGCGGCGACGACGACGCTGACGTGGGGCAGAGTCTTAAGGGATGCTTCGTGCGGCCTCTTCGGAGCGCGCTGGTAGGCATCTGGGGGGCAGTTTTGGGGCCTCTTGGGAGCCCCTTGGGGGCCTCTTGGGAGCCTCTTGGGGTTCGTTTCGGGCTTCCTGGGGGCCTCTTCGGGGCCTTTTGGGCTTCGTGGGGGCCTCTTAGGGGCCTCTTGGGGCCTCCTGGTAGCTTCTCGGGGCCGAGGGCTCGAAATGTTCGTTCGGGCTCCCGTGTGGGCACCCTCTTGGAGCCGTTTTTGAGGGCCTCTGAGCCGTCTGAAAAGGCCTCTAGGGCCGTCTTGGGGCCCTCTTGGGTCGTTCTAGGGCCGTCTTGGAAACCTCTTGGGGGCGTCTTGTGCCGATCTTGGAGGCATCTTGGGCCGTCTTTGGGCGTGGGGAAGCCGAAAAGGCGAGAGCGCCAGAATCTTTCAAACATCGACGGAAACTATTGAATTTTGTCTGTTGGGGCCCTCTTGGTGTGCTCTTGGAGGCCTCTTCGAGCGTCTTGGCAGCCGCTTAGGCTGTCAGGAAGCTATCTTTGGCGTCTTGGACCGATTGTTCGGCGATTCGGGGCTCTCTTGGACCGTCTTGGGGGCCTCTTGGACTGTCTTGGGGCTTTTTTGTCTCCAAGTCCCCCTGGGGAGGATGGTGTTCTGACCCGCGACCCCTCCAGGACCTCCCCAGGAGCCCCCTAGGACCCTCCCAGAACCCTCCCCAGGACCCCCCCCCAGGACCCCCCCCGGACCCCACCCCGGGGTGGAAGGGATCAAAGGGAAGGGGCTTCCCTTCGACTCAACTACGACATTGCTCAATTTCGCTTTGGTTTCGCTTTGGCTGGCTCGCTTGAGGAGGAGGACCCAGTGAAAAGGGTGGGGAGCGGCGACGGGCCCAGGAAAAGGGGAGTCAAACGCGACGGCGACGATGACAACGACGACAAGGGCGACGGCGACGGCGACGACGACGACGACGTAGACGACGACGACGACGACGACGACGACGACGACGACGACGACGACGACGACGACGACGACGACGACGACGACGACGACGACGACGACGACGACGACGACGACGACGACGACGACGACGACGACGACGACGACGACGACGACGACGACGACGACGACGACGACGACGACGACGACGACGACGACGACGACGACGACGACGACGACGACGACGACGACGACGACGACGACGACGTAGACGACGTAGACGAGGTAGACGACGATGACGACGAGTCAAACAGAGCAGCGTCTTCCACACCACGACAGGGTCTGCAGATTTTGCCTAGAATCTGCGTGCTGTGTCGTGCACGCCATGCTTTGCGTGCAGTGCCGCGCGTTCTGTGTCTGTCGCGCTGCCTCTGCCATTCTGTGGATGCTGTGCGGTGCGTGCGTGCTGTGTTGTGCGTGCCGTGTGTGTGTGTGTGCGTGTGTATGTGTGTGTGTGTGTGTGTGTGTGTGCGTGCGTGCGTGCGTGCGTGCGTGCGTGCGCGCGCGCGCGTGCGTGCGTGCGTCCGTCCGTGCGTGCGTGCGTGCGTGCGTGCCGTGTGTGTGTGTGTGTGTGTATGCGTGTTGTTTCGTGCCGTGCTGTGTGTCCTGCGCTGTACCGTGCGCGCCGTGCTGTTTGTGCCATACATGCCGTACGTGCCATGCGTGCTTGCCATGTTCTGCGTGCGCTGCTGTGCTGTTGCCGTGTGCCATGCCATGCGCATGCCATGTCCTGCGTACTGTGACGTGTGTGACGCGCGCACGCGCGCCGTGCGTGTTGTGCCGTACGTACCGTGCCGTGCGTGCCGTTCCTTGCGTGCCATGCTGTGCGTGCAGTTTTGTGCTTTCGCCATGGCCCTGTGGTGCCGCCGGTGTGGCCTTGTTGGTATGCATCACCAGGTTGGACGCTTATACCTACCACGCCCTGGCTGAAGTGGTGCCTTCTTGAGAGCATGGTGGTTCCCGAAGCGTGAAGAGGAATTTCAGACCGCGGCTCAGCGCCGCGTCGCCGTGTCGCCGGTGGCTGTCGTAAAGCCGGAGACGGAGACCGAGAGAGGGTCGGCTACGCGTAAGAGAGACCCTTCGCTGGAGTGACCTTTGGTGCGGGCCCGCAGGTGTGCCCCGCAGCATTTGCGGGCGCGCGTTGATGTGGCCACCCCGCGACCTTCAACAGTCGCGCACAAGAGGGCACTCTTGCCTAGGGTCACTCTTGCGTGTAGCCGAGCGGGAAGCGGTGGACTGGTAGGGGAAGGCGCTCAACAGTTTCGCCTTGATTTCCCAGCCCTCTTGGAATTCACCTGGGCGCAAGTGGCTTTCTGGTCGCCCGCGCGTAATCCCTGTCGCTGAAGAGGAGAGGTGCCAGTGGCAGGGGGAGTAGCATAACCACCCGTCGATGTTCGCCACAGCGCTGGCGGAACGATCATGCTAAATAGATCCAGCCGAGCGCGGGGTGGCGTGGCCAGACAACAGAGCCAAGGATGATAGAAGCAGGCCGTGCACGGTGTGTCGCTTGTGAGCGCTACACGTGTAGACGGAGGGCCGACACCTGCCCGCCGGAAACCTCTTGTATGTCGCCACGGCATGGCATGTGCACGGTCAGGAGTTCTTGGACAGCGTGTCGCTCCGCCGATTCTGGCTCACCACGCTTCGGCGCGACACGCTGTCCACGTCGCGGCCCCCAGGCTTCAACGTTCGGAGCTTTTCCAATCCGAGCGGAGCGACACGCTATCCGCTCGCAAGGCATAGCGTGTCGCTGGGGCCGCCGTGCCGACACGCTAAGCAAAAATTTCCGACCGTATGTCGCCACGCCATGTCGTGTGTGAATCACTGGGTCTGCCAGCTCGTCCGCCGCAGACAGCGGGTGGCACCAGTACGGTCACCAGAAGATTCGCACTGTGACGTCGGCCCCAGCGAGTCGAGATCCTGTGGTCGCGCATTCTTCCTCGTCTTCCTACACAAGATGATTTATTATTCAAGTGACTTCCGCTGACCCCCAGAAGGAGTCAGAGCCTGCGACGATCGTGGACGTTCTCTAGTGGGCTTCGGCCCAATACCGCCACCGTACCTTGGCTGCGGGTCAGCAGCCGCTTGGATGAATATGAGGTTCTCCTGCGATGCCTCTCAGGGGCCTCTTGGAGGGCTGTTGGGTGCATCTGGAAGGCTTTTGGGGTCTGTTCCGTTCGACCTGAGATGATGAGAAACAACACCGCCAGTGCTGCCGGCAGAAGCCCGGGGGCAGAGGCGTCGGAGGAGAGGGGCCATACGAGAGCCCCGCCGAGGCATGGTGCCTTGGGCCATCGTGGGGCCACCTTGTGGATCGTCACGGTGCCTCGTAGGGCTCATCTTGAGGCGATTCATCACCGTCCGAAAAAAACATGTCTTCCTCTATGTAGTGGAGCGTAAATCCACCGCCTCCTCCTCCTCCTCCTCCTCCTCCTCCTCCTCCTCCTCCTTGCGAGTAGCTACTATGCGAGTGGTGGAATGCGCTTGCCGAATGTATGGGGCCTCCCCCCCACTGACCTCCGCTGTCGGGCCGCTCTCGGGCCTCCTGCGGCCTCCTCGGGCCCCTCTCGGGAGCTCGTGGGAGTCTCTTGCAAGTTCCTTGGGGGCAGTGTTGGGCTATCTTGGACTACCTTAGGTCAGGGGGAAAAGAAACACACAGACACAATTAATCCTCGATTCCCCAGAAAATATGGGAAAATATGGGAAGTGGGGGGGAAGACAGAAACCCAGAAAATATGGAAAAATATGGGGAATCATTTTATTTGTGTGTATTTATTTGTGTGTCCTGGGGTCCCTTCATTAGGGTCATCTTCGATCGGCGAGATGAGTTGTCGCGCGCGCGTGCTGAGCGCTCGCGCGCGCGAGGTCCCAAGACGCCCCCATGGCCGCAAACTGGTTCCAGGAGGGCCCGAGGCCAAAGGCGATAACGTCCAGCCGACCCTGGGATGACGCCGCCCCAACTCGATCCCGCCATGGATTCTGGACCGTTTCAGGCCGACTCGAAGATGACCAAACAATGGAGCCACGAGTGACGCCGAGATGGCCCGATGGCAACAAGATGGATCCACGCGCGCCCAGGGTGGCCCCAGAATGGACACGCGACGGCTGCGCGATCCAAGCATGACCGAGATGTGATCTCAATATGACCTCAAGACGACCTTGACACGCCACGAATGCTATTACTTCGGGGCCCAAATTTACTTCGAGCCGATCCTAGCATGCCGGGATCTGTGAACGACCCCAGATATTTTTTATTCCTATTTGTAATGGGTGGTGGGATTTTAGCCTGGCTGAACTCAAGTTATAATTTTGCTAGGTTTCTACGCGGGGGAGGGGGGCTCGGACGGGGCGTCATTAACTCCCGCTGTCTTCCGCAAGCCTTCCGACGGCCTTCCGCCGTCTTCCGCCTTGTTTTACTTCCGTCGGCTTCCGCGAGCGAGCGATGCGACGAACATTCAAGGATCTTTCATTGGGCTGGTGTAGTAGGGGTTCGATGCCCTCTTAGGGCTCTATTTGTTTCCCTCTTAGAGCCACTTCGGGACCCGAAAAGCCTATTGAAGCCCCCACAGGCAGGAAGGGCCAATACATTTGAGTCTCGTGTGTTCTTTCTACGCTTCTGGTCTTCGTGGGATCATCCGAGGAGAGATTCTTCGGCCATCTTGGGCTTTCTGTGTAATCTATTGGGCTGTCGAAGACTGTCTTTGGCCATCTTGGCCATCTTAGGGTAACCTTGAGGACATCTTGGGGCCATCATGGGGCCATCTTGAGGCCTGACATCCATTGAGCCGCGCTCTTGGGGCGATCTTGGGCGCTCTTGGGGGCTCTTGGCGCACTCGCCGTGACCTGTGGCGCAGTCAGGTCCGAAGACTATCCATCGTTGCCCTCGCACGCGCGGACTAGACATCTAAACCGCGAGCTGAGTTACCCCTCTTCCAGGACGTAGCACGCCTGTGGCCAATTGGGGCGGCGAATTTGAAGTCATACCTCTAGTTCAGTGCTTGGTTAACTGTGCCGTGCTTGGAGCCGTATCTTGTTCCCAGTGCCATGCTTGGTGCCGTTCTTGGTGCGCGGCACTGTGTCTGGTGCCTTTTGCCTGCTGCCTGATGGCTGGTCGGGGCTTGATGTCATGGTGCCTGGTGTCTGATGCCATGCCCAGCATTTGGTGCCGTGTCTACTGCCTGTTACTGTTGCCGTGCCGTGTCGGTATTTGGTGTTTTTCTTGGTGTTCGGCGCCATCCTTTGTGCCTCGTACCGACATTCATGTTCTGTCTGCTTCGCGGTGTCGTAGCTGGTGCTGGTTGGACATGAGCTTGTTGCGTATCTGGTGCTTGTTTCACCTAGTGCCACGTGTAAGGTGCGTGGCACCTTGCCTCGCCTTGTGCCTGGCGCGGTGTTTGTTGCTTGTGCCATGTGCCTGGTGTGATGTCTGGTGTCTGGTCCTGTGCTTATGAGTCTAGGTGCCACATTTGCGCATTCTATGTTTGGTGCCTTGTGCCATGCTGTGTACCAGGCGCCTGCTGGGGTGCTTGGGCTGTTGGCGTTCGGTACCACGGTGATATCGCAATGTCTAGGCTGTTTGGGATTTAAGTGTTGGGTGTGATCGAGACGTGATCCGCATGATCGCCGCCATGATCGGGTTTTTGGATACATCATTTTAGTAAATGTTGCGATCGGACCCTTGATGCGCCAAACTTTAAGGTCTTGCCTTTCCGGCAGAAGCCGCATCGCTACAATTGCTCCGTGGATTCCATGAGCAGCCCTGAGATCTATGTCATTCAGCATCCAGGCGGCGCGTACCCAGCGTACCTCATCACCTTCGCGCAGGCAAATGGACCTCCCCATTGAGTGTGCAAGCGGCGCCGTGCTTCGGGTATACATGGGGTTGCGACTCATGTTTTGTCAATTGGTTGATCTGCTAATCGATTTCTGCACGAGCCTGACTTACAAATGGTCAGATCGCTTGGCCAAAGCGAGTGAAGCAAAGTCCACTCCAAATCGCGGCCAATCTGCTTGTTCGGAAGAGAATTATTTGCCTTTGAATAGGATTGTTCTGCGACGCAGACGGAGCCCGAGAAGGGTACCAGGTGAGCTATTGCGCCGAGTATGATGTTTTTGCTCGGGCGTCGTAGTACTTCAGAAGTGGCGAGTTGTGCCATGGCTTGAGGAAGACGTCGTTCCCCATACATTGCCTCTTCTTAGATCGTTTTCTTGTCCCCTGGCGACAACGGGCGTGGCGGGGTGGGGGGGAGGTGGCCGATCACGTCACGATTCGTGTCGGCGCCGTCTAGGGATGCTCAGGAGTTGCTAATTTTCGCGCGGCGCCTGTGCGACTCGTGACGTGACAAGTGGGAGGGGGGAAGGGGGGGGGGTCCGGGGCCGGTCATGGGCGATATCGCGAATGATGAGCATCGGGCTCTTTCTCCATCCACATCTCTTCCAGTGGGGACGGGGGAGGGACCCTCTTCGGGGACTTTCCAGGTCGGAGAGCCGGGAGGGATCCGTATCTATCTCAACACCATCTCAGAGTCCAAGTAAATCGAGGAGTCCGAAGTTTGCACGGTTATGCTTCCTTTCACACGACGCATGCGCATGAAATGTATGTGTGTATTTTTTCACGGGCGTTTGTGCACGTGTATGCGTTGCGCCAGCACGACACTTGGACGTGACGCCTTCTGCAATGTTTCCATGGGCCAGCACTGACACCTTCGTGGGGCGGTTCCGAGACCGCTGGGATCACTGGGGCCACCGCATCCAACATTTGGGTTCCTCATTGGCGAAGGAACATCTCCGCATCCGCGGCCTCGCGGGCCGGGCCCCTGGGTCGCGACCCTGTGGATGTCCCGCGCGGAACATATCCGTGTGACCGCGTATCCGCGGGGGACGCTCTCCAGAATCCAGACCGCGAGGGCGCGGATGCGGATATGTTCGCCGCTCCTGAGCTGCAGCGTTCAATGGTAGGAGAATGTCCTCGTAGCCGAAGTGGACTTCATCAGCTTGAGACATATCCCTATCCCTATGTCTGGCATCACTCTACCTCGGTGCCGATCTTACGGATTCCCTCAGTTTCTGAGGGCACATCCCTAAGATTGTCATCGCCTTGGGCTTGCGAGCAATGTCTTGACGGTCCCCGCTCGCAACAAATTTACCCTGGACCTCTCCAGGAGTGCGTTCTGGCTAGAATTCGCGGCGGTTCTAGCCGTGGCAACGATGAGATCCCAAGACGTCCAGAAACGTGCAGAAAGCTTCCAGCCTCGATCTTCTGTCTTCTAACCTCGCTCCTTTCTTTCTATTCCCAGACATCAGACGGTTTGCCTTTTTCCGTAACGTGGCCCCTCAGAAGTCTCGGTCCTTCTTTTGGAGGTGGTTTTCCGTCCCGGATCATTTTGTGATGACCTCAGGGCCCGAACCGGGCCCCTTGCGCGGCCGAACTCGAGAAACAAACTCGGGATCTGAAAAACATCAATCCATCCCAAGTCTGGGATCCTGCTGCTCCCTCTGCTCAGGGGAAACGTTGTGGGGGGGGTCTCCAGGGGGTGTATGCATCCCCCGTTCGCCCATTCATCTCCGATAGGGGCCTGATGATCCACCCCGTCCATGAACGTGAGGTTTTGCAATCCAGGGCCTATCGCTGATGTATCGGCGATGCATGGCCGATTCAATGTCGATGTTTCCCCTCCCTTCTGAGCCAGACCCCCCTATCATTCCCCCTCATGACCAGCGGGGGGGTGATGCCGAAGCAGAGAGCAGGTCGAGTCGGAGCATGAGTTGGAGGAGTACCAGGAGGAGGAGGAGGAGGAAGAGGAGGAGGAAGAGGAGGAGGAGGAGGAGGAGGAGGAGGAGGAGAAGGAGGAGGAGTAGGACGAGGAGGAGGAGGAGGAGGAGGAGGAGGAGGAGGACGAGGAGAACATACCTACGTAACGGCTCCGAACAAGGCGGTTGGCATCACCACAGCAAGGGACACCACATCTTATGGATCAGCAGTTTGGGGGTGTGTCCTGGTCTCCTCCTTGGATGTGCTCTTAAAGAACGGGGCCGTCATGCGGCTCTCGTAGTTAGGCACCTCCTGTGGGGGGGCTCCTGGGGCAGCACGTGCACGGTCGTGACGGCTCGGTTCCCGAGGCGGGGAACGGCCGTGACGGAGACTTGGGAGAGCGGAAGGGTTCGGTCGAGCACCGACCGTTTTTTTTGACACAAACCATTGTTGGACTTTGCTCATCGTGGGATGCCATGGATCTGACAATCACCACCCGCAACAAGCCCCTGGACCGCGACAACTTTGTGGCCCTTGGAAATCCCCTGGAGCCTGGAGAGGAGCGGGGTCGTGCCCTTACAGCTGTCCATCGGCGGCGATTCCCCAGGCGGCGCAATCTCCAAACACTGCTTGCACTGGAGCCCCATGGAGGTCGTACCCCAATCGTGGAAGCTAGAGCACCGCCTAACCTTGGGGACGCCTGCTGCGCAGAAGCCTGGACCACCTGGAAACACGGGAGAACAGCAACCGCTAATTTGATACATTTGGAGGCTCGCGATTGGGCTGCCTCCACTGCCTTGATAAAGTCAGGGTTCGGCCTGGGATGCATATGGAGTGCGTCCTTTGCATGAGCATCTGCAGCCTTGCTCGCCTGAGTATAGCGAAATTCCCCACCGTCAAGATAGCGATTGCTTCATTACTCTGATGAGCTTTCACGTTGCGAGTGAGCGCGATATCTCATGGCCATCCCGCCACCGTGCCTGAGTTGTGGGTCTGAAGCATATTGGATGTTCGTGGGGACCTCGTGGGGGGCCTCGCGGGGCCTCTTGGAGGCAGTTTGGAGGCCTCTTGGAGGATGTTTCGAGGCCTCTTGAGGCTTGTTTTGGGCCTCTGGGGGCCTCTTGGGGGCCTCTAGGGGCATCCTTGGCGCCTCTTGGAGCCCCCTGGGGGAATCTTGTGGCGGAGGGCTATGATTTTCCGATTCGCGTTTCCTCTCTTGGGCCCCTTTTGGGGCCGTCTTGCGGCCTTTTTGGGCCGTTTTGTGCGCCTCTTGGGCCGTCTCGAGGCGCTCTTCGGCCGTCTTGGGACCCTCTTGGAGGCCTCTTGGGCTGTTTTGGGGTGGTCTTGGGGTCCTCTTGGAGCGTCGGAACGCTGAAACCACTATGGGAAAATCATACATTTTTGCCTCTTGGGGCCCTCTTGGAAGGCCTCTTAGGGGCCTCTTGAAGCTTCTTGGAGGCCTCTTGGGCCGTCGTGGTGCCATCTTGCGCGGTTTGGGCCGATCTTTGGGCTTCTCGGGGCCCTCTTGGACCGTACCGCTTGGGGCACTCTTGGCCCGTCTTGGGGCCCTGTTGGGCCCGAACAAATCATGCGACGAGATGCTGGGAACCCCATGGGGACACGCGGGAAGTCCCCAGAGCTGTCGGAATTTGGGGTCTGGGGTTCTTAAAGACTCCTCAGCACTGAAGACTGAGGCTCCAGGGATTAGGCAAAGGACCTGAGGACACGCCCACTCCGTGCCCAGAGGCACTGTGACGGATTTGAGGCGTTGAGGCGCTGGGAAACGAGCTTGCAAACAAACGAACTTGCATAATTGTTGGCGGAGCAGGTCTGCTCCCGCATGCTTTTCTTACCGTGAGTCACTGCTGCCAAACGATCTAGGTCCACACGAGTCTCCCTATCTGAGACCTGCTAACGCATATGCAAGGTGCTCCGCAAACGCAGGGGTCTGGGGGAGGGAGTCAGCCACGGGCCCACGAAGCACTGCACGGACCTCGTCACTCCCGGGTTTGAGGGCATACATTGCCCCCGCGGCTTTCCGACGGCTTCTTGCAGGATCCGTCCGCAGCTATTTCCATTAAGACATGCTCCCCGAGAAGTTCTTCCACTTTCTCTGGACACTGGGGATCTCTTCGCCATTACCCCCCAACACGCAACAATCGCTCAAGGCAAACGGGGCGGGAACCTCGCCAGGATCAAAGACGAAACGACCTCTCGTGAAAATTGCATCCTCGCTATCTCGGCCTGCATCCAGGACATGTCTGGGAATTTTGGCTTCAGAGCGGGCCTCGATTGCCCCTGGGAGGCTACACGTATACAACCGATGGTGGACCGTAACTATTTGGCCACACCTACATCTGCCCGTGGTCTGGTAGCCTGCGAGTCGACCTTTTTCCTCGGTCTACAGGGCATCGCAACAACGCACAATACATGTCTGATACCGTGAACACTTGTTGCTGGCTTGCGAGCAAATCGGATCTCGAATTGAATCGACGGTGGCTCAGTTACCCTGAGGGAGTCTGCGCCAAAGCAAACTCGAGCTGACGCTGTAGCCCCACCTTCGTCATATCAATGCAGCGCTGGTGTCAGCTGGCCACATGACCTGCAGACCGTTGTAGTCAGTCCAAAGAATGGGGTCAGGGGCATTCCAACCCGGACGACAAGCCGTGCGGCGAGCTGCGAGATGGGGCCCTTTGCTGCCGTGTCAGTTGCGGGGGTTGCTTGTCTGAGCTTCGCGCCACATTCGACAAAGCATATCGGTTGAAACTAGCGCTCGATCAGCATTGGACTGGGGCTACCACAACATACGACACCACTGCAACGCGAGAGCTCATGCCGATCTTGCGCTCTCGTCCCTGAACAGGACTGTCTTGGTACTGAGGCTTGTGCCTCCATGCTGCGGTAGGTTGAGTGTGCTCTGGAGCCGTCGACACTGAAACCACTCATCGTTTAGACCCAGGACCTCGGTGCCGAAAGCCGCACCTGTGGAAACAGTTTTTGAAACGGTTTGAAGGTCCGCTGAGTACATCCTGCAGCCGTGCGTGCTAACCTCTTGTGTCGCCTGGGTCTTCTTCGCATCCTTCTGAACCTACTCCTCTGCTTGGCCCTCTTGCCAGGCTGGGCGGGCTTTGCTGCGCAACATAGGTCTATTTCAAGGTACGCCACGTTGGTGACCGCAGTTTCTGCAAGGAAATTTAGCTCACGACAGACCTCGCAAGATCCTCAGTGGTTGATTTGCTGGACACACCTGTGCTGTTGTCGCGAATATATCAGAGGTTGCACAGTCCAGTGCCGACCTTCCTTTCGACGCACCCCAATAACGATGACCGACCAGACGACCGACTTCGGCCAGCAGTGGTCTACGCAGGCGTTGTCAAACTCGGTACATGTCTGCATGCAGTATTGTCAATCGATTCCCACCTTTGGGTTTTGGGAGCATTGGCTGGACCACCCGCAGAAGCTGGCGAGGAAGCAGGCCGATGGCCTCACAGGGCTGCCAGAGTGCGCTTAACACCTGAAGACCTTCGTCATCCAGAGCTGAAGCGAAACCGGTGTGAAAATGATCTGCGTAAGCTGCCTGAGGTGTTGCGCGAGAAATTGCGTCCCACCTCTCGCGTCGCCGCAGCAGGCTCGTGCGCAGGAGGAACGGTCCGGGACCCGACCCCTCGGAGCCTCAGAAGACGCACGCCAGGGCTTTTTATGCAGCGATGCCTCTTGCTTTGCTACATTGGTCGTGTCTGCTGTCGGACCCTTGTGTGCTTGGACAATGGTTGACGAACGAAGAACGCACACCCATACCTATAGGGGGCACGGAGAGGGCTATGGGTGCGTGTTGTCGGATGGGTGTCCCCGCTCGAACGGAAGCCTCACCCAGGTTTCGACACCCGCACCCATACCCATGGACAGTCCTCCTCCCTCCGACCCCCCCATGGGTATGGGTGCGTGTGTTGTCCATTCCTCAACGGTGGCAGCTCGCACTTGCGGACAGCAGTTATCTTGTTGGAAGTCCGTGCTCCTGCTGCCTTGGCTGCGACGCACCAGTTCGTCCGCAAGTCACTCTGCTCTTCACCTTCCCCTGTGACGGCCATCTCGACATCTGACTCGATATCACTTGAACAGTTCCGAAGAGCCTCAGGGGCGACCTCTTCAGACCCGACAAGCTCACGAGCAACATTGACAGGGTGCTCTATCCTCGAGCCGAGGCCGGGCCCTGGTACATCATCGATGAAAAACTTGAGACTCCATGTGCAGGCACCATTTGGTTCTCTGCCGAACCGGCAACGCGAGAGAATACGATTACCGGACTCACAGCATTCTGGAGCCACTTCCAGCCATCGGCGACAGGTTGCACATCGCTAGAGGTCTTGGCTGGGCAGGATACTTCTACCACCGTGCTTTTAAATCTCTTCCAAAGGATCCTGGATACTTTAGTGGTTGACCTGCACGCTTACGGGTATAACGCGCCGTCGTGGTGGCAGAACGACCCCCAGCATTGGAGAACAACGCCCAGGGCAACACTGGGCGGGACCGAAGGATCGCAAGCAACTTGGCACGCACTTTCGGCACCTCGCTCCTCGATTGACCAACTAGGAGGCTCAGGGGCTGGGCAAAAAGGGAATTCCTTGGGCAGCACGGTGGTTACATGCTTGATCTGAAAACCGTTCGAGATAGCTGGATGGATAGGCCTATGTGGCTTAACCGTCCAGCGAATACCGACCATTAGCTTCTTAAACTCTCCCATGAGAGCTCCATCAAAACATAACAAATCAGTTCTGCTGGAACCATTCCCCCATGCCTCCAGGTTTTCGCGTCTTAGGTTCCAGTCACCAGCACAAAAAGCGGGGCCCGAAACAGCTTGGATCGAGCACCCAAGCTCGGCCAGGATGGGAGCGTTCACTCCGCTCGGGCCTACCTGCGGGTGAAGGTAGATGTTGTACACTTTGTTCATACACCAGCCCGGTAGGTCGATCTTGACCCTCTGGAGCCGGTGGAGAACGAGCTGTTCACGACCAGCAGCTGGTTGCCGAATTCCGATTCTTGCCCCGACGAACACCGCCAAACCAGCAGAAGTATTGTGATCAGACGTCGGTGCTGCAGCAAGCGCCCTTATAGACAATCCCCGTGACGGCCCGTGCAGCACGCCACGAATCCAATGCCTCTAGGTCTGCAGCCAAGTAGCCAACCTCCTGCATCAGCACAACTTGTGCCAAACTCTTCTCCAGCCGCTTCTTTACTGTACGCTTTCCGCCGTGTGCACTGTACGTCTCGAACGCATGAAGGTTTTCATCGAACATTGCTTCCGCATCTGGCACGGTGCCTCGATTTGAGAGCTTGAAACCTGTGATTCGCGGCAAATCCAACTCGGGAGTTCTCGACGCGCGAGGCTGCGGCACTGCACTCGTCAACGTAGCCGAAGGACTGGAAGTACTCGGCCCTCCCTCCAGCGATTCTGTGGACAGGACCGGCTTCCTTTCCTCGCCCACCCCGAGCTTGGCACTGCCTGCTTGGAGGCTGCGCTGGGGGTGGCGTCCTATCCACAAGGTCAGCTTTCTCGGGGTCAGGCCAGCGCCTCGAGCATGGGAGGGTGCCCGACGGAGAGGGTGGTGCCGAAAAGCCGCTGTCCGTGATGCATTCGGCCCTCTTTCCAGCGGTGCCGTGGCAAGGGTTCCGGTCCCTCGCTCGCCCCATGGCATGGCAAGGCCCGCCCTGGGGCTGCGTTTCGGAGGTGACTTCCTATCCACAGCCTCAGCTTTCTCAGGGTCAGGCCAGATCCTCGGGCATCGCAAGCTACTCCCCATTCCGTAATAGAGTGGGGGAGGTCTGATTTGTGGGGGTCCGATTTGAGCTGCCTTGGATGGTTCCGCGGAGTCTGGGCAAATGGCCGCCCTTTCACGGCTGGTTTGGGGGGGTCTGAAACGGCCCGTCTGGCGGGTATCAGACCCCCCCTTTACCGCGGAATTATGGGTTGGAGTGAGTGCCGCCGTCGTCGAAGCCAGACTGCACAATCATTGACCCAGCTTCATCGTGTCAGGAGTGCTTCGCTATCTTTTCGCCTGGAACTCTGCGAGTTTCGCTTTGAAAGCTGCCTCGTCGCCAGCAAGATTGAATAATTGGTTCTGCTCATCTTCGTCGAGTACCTCACACTCGCGTATGACTCATCCAGTGCCACTGCTCTCGTCTGTTTTTTGTTGTCTCCAGCGGTCCCGTCAGCAGCATGTGAAGGACCAGCGCCTGTACCACCATCAACTTCCATCTTGGTAGGCAGCTTGCTGGCTTTCTTGGACAGGAAAGCCTGGGGAGCAGTCCACTCCTGGCTCCTGAGGAAACTATGCACTTCCCTGGGCACCTTTGATTCATCGAATTCGAACAGCTAGGATATGTCAGGGGTGGCTCCCTTCTCCTGCTGCTCTGGCTTGACTTTCTTTGCCGTCTCAGGGGGAGGAGGAGGTAGAGGAGGGGGGGAGGTGGAGGAGGGGGAGAAGGAGGGGTAGGAGAAGTAGGCTCGCCCCCCCGACCGTTCCCCCCCGCCTGCTCCCCCTTCCAGACTCGCCCCCCGCCGCAGACAGCAGCGGCGCGGCCGCGCCAGCCCACGCCGCCGCGGCCTCGAGCGCCGCCTCTGGCCGGGGCCCCTGGCCGGCCCGGCCGGCGCGCGCCCGCGGGGGCGCCCCCCCGGGGGTCCCAATGCCCCAGCCCCCCCGACGAGTCATGTAAAGATCACGGTGGACGGCTTGCCGCTGTTTTCAGCCTCCGGGGGCCTGTACGCGGCCTCGGGGCTATCAAGAAGCGCCTCAGAGTAAGAAGCCGATCCCGGGGAATGGGTCGAGATTTTTTGGGGTGCCAGCGTTCTGAAAAAGCATGGCGTCGGGGGTCTCAGTGCCCAGACATGCGAGGAGGAGGAGGCGGAGGAGGAGGAGGAGGAGGAGGAGGAAAAGGAAAGAAAGACATATATACATAAAGACAGCGAATGAGGAGGAGGGGAGGGGGAGGAGGAGGAGGGGGACTTGATGTGAAGTGATATGGCTTAAGGGGCGCCTTAACCCCATGCGATATGGCCTGTGGCCATCTCCACCCCAGGGTTGACAGGGGGACCTTCGCCTCAGCAGGCCACCCTAGGGGTAACGGGAACAACTGGACCTCCCCAGAGCCCAACAACTTCTCGTTGGATCGAGGGAAGACGCGTGTCAGACCCAAGTGTCCAATGTAATTTCCTGTGCTGCATCGCACGGCACGCGCACCCCATGCGCGCGATCCCTTCAGCCAAAACTGCTTAACAGTTTTAACGCCGGTTTGTGCGCAAACTGCTTTAACAGTTCTAACGCTTGCCGCGCCGCATCGTCCCCGTGACATTTGCAGCGCCTTGCGTCACGTGGGGGTATAGCGGATGGAACGGTACGCCTAACATTTGGGTAGTTGCAAGTTCCCGTGCTCACGATTTGTGGTCGTTTGAGTGAGCAAAAAGTGTGTTCCTACTCTGGGGCGCGGTGCGGCATGGATTCACGGATACGCTGGTACATCCAAAAATAATCCAAAGTGGCCGCAACAACGGGTTGCTTTGGTATGTTCTGTTGTGTCTGTCCCAGCCGCGGTGGCCGGATAATTTGGGGGTGAAGTGTCGAAAGCTAACATCCAAGCAGCAGGACCGTGAGACACGATAGCTTGCACCACGTATGGTGTTGTTGATGTGGACCTTGATTTTGCCCTGGAGTGCATCGGGAGCCACGGACGGGAACCAGCAGTGAAATGCGTCAGATTGACACTCTAGCTAACAGCTGTATGCCGTAAGGAAGGGGGGGACGATTGCAGTGTAGCGCTGATGTCCTTAAGGCAAGACCCTTGGCATTACCGCCAGTCTGTGTCCGTAAGCGCTTGTCTCGTAGGTGGAGTAGGCGTGCAGGACCGCCGGCATTGCCGCCGGGCTACGCCCCGGAGGTTAAAACCTCCGACGAATCGAATGACACAACAAGCTGTATCCGAGAAAAGCATGCCTCATGAGTGGGCTAAATGTGCAGGACCGCCGGCATTGCTACCAGGCTATGTCCCAGAGGTTTAAGCCTCCGACGAATTCAATGAAGACAACAGGTTGTGTCCAAGAGACGCATGCCTCGTGGGTGGGGGAAGTATGCGGGACTGCCGGCATTGCTGCCAGGCTGTGTCCCGGAGGCCAGAACCTCTGACTTGTGGACAGTGAACGAGAGCACCGGCGCTTCTGCCAGGCTGTGCCCCGAAAGCGCTTGCCACGTAGGTGGGGTCGTTGCGGAGGACCGCCGGCATTGCCGCCGAGCTGTGTCCCCGAAATCCTGTAATATTGCGTTTGGGATAGTGGAATGAGCGTCTAGCCATATGAGCATATGTGCATATTATATTGTAGGTAGTGCTATGGTGAACATATGTCTATGATCGTTTTGTTATAAGAGCGCGTCTACGTGAGCGACGAGCACACGCACGCGCAGCTCGGCTGCACATGCAACACATGTATATGTTCATCCGCAAGCATATCTAAACGCATCTTTTTTGTCAAAGCAAAGAATTCATTGACACTGCGTCGCAAGCACCGTGGCAGAGGTCGTTCGATTGTGCCGTCCACACCGAGAGTGAACCTTTTCAAGTTCCCTCTCCAGTTCGATCGCATGCGGGGAAGTGAACCTTTCCCGCAACTGATGGGTGAACCTGCAAGTTCCCCTTTCAGTCCGACCACACGAGGGAGAGTGAACCTTTTCATGTTCCGTGTCCCTGCCTGGAGAGTGAACCTTTTCAAGTTCCCTCTCCAGTTTGACCACAAGCGGGAAAGTGAACCGTTTCAAGTTCCCTCTCCCGCAGCTAGAGAGTGAACCTTTTCAAGTTCCCTCCCCAGCCCAAAACGCTCGCGGGAGAATGAACCTTCTCAAGTTCCCTCTCCCGCTGACGACGACAAGATTGGAAAGCACCACGGAGAGAGAAAACAACATCCCGAGGTGACACAAGCTCTGCGCCAGCAACACCTGGTCACTCCTCCTTGACCGCCGTACGCAACGGGGCAACGCAAAAACAGAAAAAAGGCAAACCGCTAGAGGCATCCCCACAGAACGGCGACGAACGGAACCGTGAAAACACCTTTGGCGGCTCCGCGAAAAGGGACCGTGTCATACCCTTCGGCGGCTCCCTCTTTGGCGTGCTGAAACCAGCGCCCCACCTGAAACATCCTCACAATCTGCTCTCCGAGCGAAGGATGTTGGGACAGAAAACAGGCAAACCGCTTGAGACATCCCCACAAAACGGCCGCGAACGGGACCGTGTCATACCCCTTGGCGGCTCCCCTTAGGGGTGCTGAAACCAGCGCCCCGCCTGAGACATCCTCACAATCTGCTGTGTGTTGAGTAAGTCAGACAATGAGAAGGTCAGAGTATGAGTATGTCTGGGTATGAGTGAGTCTCAGAGTGGGTAAGTTTGAGTATAAGTCGGTCTGAGTATGAGTCGGTCCGAGTACGAGTAGGTTAATATGATCAGGTCTGAGTATGAGTTAGTCTGTGTATGAGTAAGTCTATGTATGAGTAGTCTAGGTACGAGGAGGAGGATGAAGAGGAGGAGGAGGAGAAGAAGAAGAAGGAGGAATAGGGGGCGTCCAAGTAATAACAGTAACCACATCGTAGGATATGGGGAATAAGGTTTTCCCAAAGGAATACGCCGCCCCAGCGACACGCTTGGCACGCCGCCCCAGCGACACACCAGGCAAAACGCCGCCCCAGCGACACGCTTCAACCCACACTCAGATGAAGGGGGGGGGAAACTTTCTTACCCGGAGCTATCGGTTGACAAAATTCCCCACGGAGCGAATGAAGGAAAGGCCCTTGACAATTCCGCCACTCTGTATCCTGTAGGCGCTGGCCTCGTAGATGGGGTTAGCGTGCAGGACCGCTGGCCTTGCCGACGGGCTATGCCCCGGAGTTAAACCCTCCGACAAAACAAATGCGCAGAACTGCCGGCCTTGCCGGGCAACGTCCTTGAGGCAACAGCCTCGCGACGGAGGTTGGCGTGCGTAGTCTGTGGGCACACGATGGCTCGCACTGCTGCCAGCCAGCGTCTCAAAGAGGACGAACCTTGGTAACGGTCCGACGTGGAAGGGTGCAGGACCGCTGGCCTTGCCGCCAGGCAACGTCCTTGAGGCGTCTGCGTCGCGACGGGGGTAGGCGTGAAGACTCATCAAATGCACGCAAACTGACGTGAGCGCTAGGCAGTGCCTACAGGACACGTGGTGCGAGGACCAGGGGGAATTCAGTGTGCAGGACCGCCGGCCTTGCCGCCAAACCGTGTCCTTGGGGCAATAGCCTCGCGACGGGGGTTACGCGTGCAAAATTTGCGGACGCACGATGGCTGGCACTACCGCCATCCAGCGTCTCAAAGAGGACGAACCTTGGTAACGGTCCGACGTGGCAGGGTGCAGGACCGCCGGCCTTGCCGCTGGGCAACGTCCTTGAGGCGTCTGCCTCGCGACGCGGGCAGGCGTGCAGACTCAGCAGATGCACGCAAACTGGCGTGGCCGCCAGGCAGTGCCAGCAGAAAACTGGTGCGAGGATCAGGGAGAATTGAGTGTGCAGGACCGCCGGCTTTGCCGCCAGGCTGTGTTCCTGAGGCAACAGCCTCGCGACGGGGGTAGGCGTGCATAGTTTGCGGACGCACGATGGCTGGCACTACCGCCATCCAGCGTCTCAAAGAGGACGAACCTTGGTAACGGTCCGACGTGGAAGGGTGCAGGACCGCCGGCCTTGCCGCTGGGCAACGTCCTTGAGGCGTCTGCCTCGCGACGCGGGCAGGCGTGCAGACTCAGCAGATGCACGCAAACTGGCGTGGCCGCCAGGCAGTGCCAGCAGAAAACTGGTGCGAGGATCAGGGAGAATTGAGTGTGCAGGACCGCCGGCCTTGCCGCCAGGCTGTGTTCCTGAGGCAACAGCCTCGCGACGGGGGTAGGCGTGCATAGTTTGCGGACGCACGATGGCTAGCACTGCCGCCAGCCAGCGTCTCAATGATGACGAACCTTGGTAACGGTTCGACGTGGCAGGGTGCAGGACCGCCGGCCTTGCCGCCAGGCGACGTCCTTGAGGCGTCTGCCTCGCGACGGGGGCAGGCGTGCAGACTCAGCAGATGCGCGCAAACTGGCGTGCCCGCCAGGCAGTGCCCACAGGAAACGTGGTGCGAGGACCAGGGAGAATTGAGCGTGTAGGGCCGCTGGCCTTGCCGCCAGGCTGTGTCATTGAGACAGCAGCCTCGCGACAGGGGTAGGTGTGCATAATTTGCGGACGCACGATGGCCGGCATTGCCGCCAGCCAACGTCTCAAAGAGGACGAACTTTGGTAACGGTCCGACGTGGAAGGGTGCAGGACCGCCGGCCTTGCCGCCAGGCAACGTCCTTGAGGCATCTGCCTCGCGACGTGGGTAGAAGTGCAGATTCAGCAATGTATGCAAATTGTCGTTGCCGCCAGGCGAGGTGCGAGAACCAGGGAGAAGTGAGTGTAGCCTTGCCGCCGGGCTGTGTCCTTGAGGCGATTGCCTCGCGACGAAGACAAACGCGCAGAATTTGCGCATGCACGATCGCTGGCGTTGCCGCCCTTGCCTCAGTTACTAGAGGCGGGTGCCCGTGACTGTCCATCGACACAGATGGGCATCCAGGCCCGTGCGGCCCTGCCTCCCTGGGGAAGGTCGTGCCTGCCCTGAGTGTGAGGGCAAAAAGTCCCAGGCCACTGTCGCCCAGCCATTCATTAGATAACGGGCTACCCAGGGTGCTCCCCGAGGTGAAAGACCTTCTAGTGGCGCCCCGTGCGTCCTTTGGGTTTTCCCCCATACCCAGGATTGAATGGCGTCGGCACGGGGAGAGGAAGGAGGAGGAGGAGGAGGAGGAGGAGGAGGAGGAGGAGGCAGGAGGAGGAGGAGGAGGAGGAGGAGGAGGAGGAGGAGGAGGAGGAGGAGGAGGAGGAGGAGGAGGAGGAGGAGGAGGAGGAGGAGGAGGAGGAGGAGGAGGAGGAGGAGGAGGAGGAGGAGGAGGAGGAGGAGGAGGAGGAGGAGGAGGAGGAGGAGGAGGAGGAGGAGGGACGAGGAGGAGGGGAGGAGGAGGAGGAGGAGGAGGAGGAGGAGGAAATGGAGGAGCAGGCAAGAGGAAGAAGGAGGAGGCATGATGGGGTAGGAGGGGGCCCCCAGGATTTCCCAGAAGGCCCCCACGGCCTCCAGAACACCCCTGACGAGGCCCAGAGGGCCCCAGGGGCTCCAAAATGGAGCGCAAAGCTGTGGGCACCTTGGGCCAGGAACACCTTGAGCAACTCTCGAACAATTGGGGGGTCGAATGGCAGAGCAGGCGCAGCTTTCCGAATGTTCGCGCAGATCTCTTGGGTCCTCGTTGAACCCCCCTTCCCGCCACCCTTGCCCCGCAGCGCGCCGGGTCCCGATCAAGATGAGCTCCAATCCCGGGCGGGCGGATTGATCTCTCCGATCATTTTCGGGCTCATCGCTCTCGAGGGGCCCCAGGCCCTGGGGCCGTCCAAACCAGCTCAGGACGAAAAGCAGCGTTCTTCGAGGGCAAGCAAAAGAGTCGAGGGCTCCAGATGCTGGGCGCCATCATTTCTCCACGAGTTGCTCGCAGGCCCGCGAGGGGGCGGTGCTGGGCGCCGACCGGTCAGTTGGCCCGCAGGGCGCGAGACCTCATACTTGTACTATGTGTGCATCGGCCCCGCAGGGGCGACGCACACGCTCAGATCTGTTATAGTATAAGCTCCGTGGCGGACGCTTTCTGGCCACACCGCCCAAGCAACGACATGCTGTAACATTTGTGTGCTATATGTTAGTGTCGGGCGTGCTCCTCCAGTATCAGCACACAGTACTAGTGCTTCCTTCTGCGTCCCATTTTTGGCGGCGCCCGCAGTGTGGTGGCGCGGGCGGGGGGGGGCTTCTAGGAAGGCGTCGGCTTTTGAAGGCCTCGAGGCCCGACGCCAGCCTCAAGAGGCCAAGAACGGCGACAGACAGACTGCCGTCTGTTGGCCCGATCTGTTCTTTCTTGTCGTTCACCCTCCCGCTCCTCCTCCATTTCTTGCTCCTCGGCTCCTCGCTCGCCTGCCCGTTTCTGTCCGTGGCCTGGCCCGTCCCGTGGTCCGAAGAACGGACCGTCTCGCCTCGACGTTTTCGAGGCGCGCCGGATGTCTCGAGGTGGGAGCCGCAGAAGGCAAGCGGGCGCTCGCTGGCCCACGCTGCTGTGCGGGCTTGGTCGCCTTGGAGTCGGCTGGGGGTCTGAGGTGGCCCAGCACTGGTTCCGGCCAGCAGGGAGGGGAGAGGGCATGTTCGATGGGTTCGACAAGGTCTTCTGCCTTTCTCGGTATCCGGGCCCCAGGGCCGTCAAAGCGGATCTGGAGTGAAACATTGCACCAGCTGCTGTGGCGATCAATTTTTGAGCGGATTCGCCTTGTCCACACCCCTCTTGACTGGCTTTCTCGGGGCCCAACCAGCTCAGACCCCCAGGGCCTCCTCCAACGGTCCCCTCTTCTCCCTCTTCTGCCTCCCCCCGCCGCCACCGCCAGGCTCTTCCAGGCAGCACTGGTCGGAGTGATTCGGCCACGCGCAGAGGGGGATAGGGGGAGGGGGAAAGCGTCTTGGAAGCACCCCTGCTTCTTAGAGGGCGCAGGCCTTCCCTGTAGATGTAAGGCCGGCGCCTTCTAAGAAGCAGCCGCCTTCCAAGAAGCCTTCCCCCCTCACCCTATCCCCATGTGCGCGCCGCCGAGTGATGGCCGTGCCAGAGTGGGGTTCGGGGCCCAGCTTCGGAGGGCAGATGGCCAGGGCGAGAAACCTCGAGCTCTGGGCGTCGCAACTTTTTCTGTGCGCACCTGTCGTTGTCGTCGGCTGGTTTCGGCCCCCAGGGTCTTCGCGGGGCGATCCCGGCTCGAGGGATGCGGCGTAACAAGATGGGGTCGAGGGGTTCAGCCTTGATTTGTCACGATGCTTCAATTTTTCGAGAAGGGAAGCGGCTACAGGAGTGATTGACCCCAAAATTGATTTGCCCGTCGAGTCAACGAACAGTAATAATGATAGTGATACTACTACTACTACTACTACTACTACTACTACTACTACTACTACTACTACTACTACTACTACTACTACTACTACTACTACTACTACTACTACTACTACTACTACTACTACTACTACTACTACTACTACTACTACTACTACTACTACTACTACTACTACTACTACTACTACTACTACTACTACTACTACTACTACTACTACTACTACTACTACTACTACTACTACTACTACTACTACTACTACTACTACTACTACTACTACTACTACTACTACTACTACTACTACTACTACTACTACTACTACTACTACTACTACTACTACTACTACTACTACTACTAATCATAATAATAATAATACTACTAGTAATAATATTGATGATAATGATAATAATAATAATATTCATAATAATACTCCTAGTACTAATAATACTATTAATAATGATAATACTAATAATCATAATAGTACCAATACTACGACTACTACTACTACTACTAATAATAATAATAATAATAGTAATAGTAATAATACGAATCATAATAATAATCATTATCGTACTGATAATGATATTGAAAATTCCCCAATCAGAGCTTGCCTCTGTAGGGGTCCTAGCGGATTCACACGGTTAGGTTAGGTTTGTCGTCGACTTCCGCTGCACGCCCGGGTGCCCGGGTGCCCGGGGGTGCCCGGGTGCCCGGGTGCCTGCAGGCGTGCCCGGGGGTGCCCGGGTGTCCGGGCTTGCCCGGGGGTGTTTGGGTGCCTGGGGGTGCCCTATAGCCCTATATCCCTATAGCCCTATAGCCGTATAGCCCTATAGCCCAATAGCCCTATAGCCCCATAGCCCTATAGCCCTATAGCCCTATAGCCCAATAGCCCTATAGCCCTATAGCCCTACAGCTCTATAGCTCTATAGCCCTATAGCCCTATAGCCCTACAGCTCTACAGCTCTATAGCCCTATAGCCCTATAGCCCTGTAGCTCTATAGCCCTATAGCCCTATAGCCCTATAGCCCTGTAGCTCTATGACCCGATAGCCCAAGGCCCAATAGCCCTATAGCCCATGTAGCCCTATAGTCCTACAGCCCTAAAAATATGATGGTTGTTTTTTTCTCCGGTACCATAATAATAGTATTAACCATAGTAATAGTATACATTGCTCTGTCGATCTACAGAGTACTCTACGTATTTTTTTGTGGATTCGACGAAAAGGTCAGTTTTGGAGTAAATCAATTCTGTGGTCGATCCCCTACTCGATTTTTTTGTGCGATGTCCTTTCATCCTAGAAAGACCCGTTCTTGCCAGCGCCGTGCAGTAGTGGTTTCACAGCTGCCCCTCCCGAGGAGTGGGATGACGAGCGCGGGGTGGCGGCGGCGGCGGGCGATGACGCATGCAGTTTGCTGCCATCGCGGCAGCGACGAGCGGGACGGCGACGGCGGCGGCAGGCCCAGACGTCCGATGCCTCGTTGTTTCCGCACGGGGTTCCCAGAGGTCACGGGAGGAAGCAAACGGCGGAAGAATTCCCGCCTCGTTTTCTTCAAGACGGTGCGCGTCTCGGCGCACCGCGATGGCGGAGGCGCCGCGCGTAAGTGGCGCGCGGTGCCGCGAAGCCGCGAGGCAGCGCGGCGGCTCGGGGTGCAGCGCCGTCGGCGCCCCCCTCTGCCGCGCCTGCCGCAGGACCGGGGGGGGGGGTGGGCCCCTGCACAGCCTCTGGCTTCTCCGTCTCTCCGTCTCTCTCTCCCTCTCTCTCTCTCTCTCTCTCCCTCTCTGCTCGTTTTGCTCCCCCTCTCCCTCTCTCTTTCTCTCTTCCTGTCTGCCTGCCTGCCTGCCTGCCTGCCCGTCCGTCCGTCCGTCCGTCCGTCCGTCTGTCTGTCTGCCTGCCTGTCTGTTGTCCCGCACTGGCGCGCGGGCCCCCGCCCGTGCGGCGCGGCTTCCCCGGGGCGGTGGCCGAGCGCTGGGGACCCCCGGCCGGGCCACCGCCGCGTCTGCGCACCGGGCGCTGGCCGCGGGCCGCCGTTGCCGAGTGCCTCAGTCCAGAGGAGCTCCGATTATCCTCGCCGGCAGCCCTCCTCCTCGTCCTCCTCCCGAGGAGGAGAAGGAGGAGAAGGAGGACGAGGAGAAGGAGGAGTGTTGCACCGAGTGTCCATGCCGCTGCCCTCGCCTCGATCTCGCCTTATTTTGGGGCCTCCGAGGAAGCGCTCGGCGACACCTGCTGGATTCGCCTCGGAATTGTGGTCAGAACGCACCCCGTGAGAGGTCGTCGTCGTCGTCGTCGTCGTCGGCCCGTCCGCCCGTCCGCCCGTCCGCCCGTCCGTCCGTCCGTCCGTCCAGAATGCACCCCAGGAATTCTGGCAGAACGTGGTATCGGTACCTGTTGGTTTCTCCATCAGTGAGCGTTTCCCCAGAGATCCTGGCGCTGCAATTCTTTCGCGGCTGGCTCTTTTTCGCCTCGTTTCGGGCCCCAGGGCCCTCGCAGATGGATACGGTTCGAAAGATGACGCAGAAAGATGGGGTCCAGGGCTCTGGTCATGCTCTGGTCGTGATCTCTTTCGATGCTTGCCGAACTCAGACACCTGGCGTCTCAAAAAACATCGGGACGGAAATTTGTTCATCGTTTTCTGCGTGCGAGGCCCTCACTGGCCCCAGGAGCGCCAGAAAACGACTCGGGATGAAAAGCTGGTCCGAGGGAAGTGGTCGAGAGTTCTTGGGCCCGTGTCTCGCAAGCAATTTTTTTTATTCCCCTGATCCCCGACCTTTTCGGAAAAATGAAGCCGCTCAGCAAAGGAGGGATACCCTGGGATACACCCCAAGGGGGCTAACCTGACGCACCCCATATCGAGGATGGACGCCCCCCGCAATCGTATATCCCAGGGCAGGGCCCACATTTTTGGGCCACTCGAAAACCCCACGAAGCTTGGGATAGGGGTTGACATATCCCCTGTTAGTGTTCCGAACAGAACATCGAGACGCCGGACATCCAGGACCGTCTCGGTGATCATTTCTGCTGCGCCAGCCGCTTTGCCGCGGGCCTTCGGTGGAGCTCCCCATGGGGCCACGAAGCGCTGTACTCGGCGGGGGTCCCGCTTGCGAGTGCAGCCACAGGGGCACTCGGTGCAGCTCCCCATGGGGCCATGAAGCGATGCACCGGGTGGGGGGAGACGCCCACTGCGGAGGGCAGAGGCGAGGAGGGGAGCCCCCTGTGGGGCCACGAGACGCTGTGCTGCTGTTCTGCCCCCTTTCTCTGGGCGCCCGCGGTGCCCGCGCAGCGGCCCCTGCCCTGGCCCCGCGGGTGCCCTCGAGGGGCACTGTCCCGAGACCCCCGGAGATCCTGCGGCAAGAGTGTACAGGCTGGCGCTGGAGGGCCAGGTGCGGCCTTCCTCCCTGCTGCCTCCCCTCCCTCCCTCCCTCCCTCCCTCCTCTTATTCCTCCTCCCTCCTCCCCTCCCTCCCCTTCCCTCCCCTCCCTCCCCTCCTCTTCTTCCTCCTCCCTCCCTCCCCTTCCTCCCTCCCCTCCTTTCCCTCCCCCCCCCTCCCTCCTCTCTCCCCCCCCCCCCTCCTCCTCGAGGGAGCTCTGAGGCCCGCGGGCTGCAAGGAGCACTCCCGCAGGAGGTCTGGGCCTCTCGGGGGGGCGACCCGCGGCCAGCACCCAGCTCCCCAGGCCCGTGGCGGCCCGGGGGCTCCCGGGCCCCACGGGCCAGAACGGGACGGCTGGCGCACAGCGCTCGTCCGTAATCTCCCCCGGGAAGCGGCAGCTCTGGGGAGGGGAGGAGTTCGGGAGGCCGCGGATACGGATACGATCCGTATCCGCGGCCTCCCGGGCCGGTCCCTTGGGCCGCGACCCCGCGGATGGGGAAAGTTCTTTCCAGGATGCCGCCCCGCGCGGAACGTCGCGACCGCGTATCCGCGGGATCTCGCCCCAGAATCCAGACCGTGGCGACCGCGTCTCGCGGATACGGATACGCTTGCAGCTCGTGAGGGATGTCAATGACACACGCCGCCGTTGGGCCCGTCAGCGTGTTACTCCTTCGCCTGGTATTCCGAAGGTCTGGGTGTTCTTTCAGCGGTAGCACTCTGATGGCTTCCTCACGGCGGCGTGTCACCGATACGGTTTTTGCCCTCCCGAGCTCGGGCACCATCCTTCGGGGGGTTCAGGAAGTGGGGTTGACGAAAGTTGCTGCGTGCGGCTGGTTTTGGCCCCGCCGCCGGGTAGATTCGTCCATGCATGGCCGCATCTGGCGCCCAGATGCGCCAGGCCCCTTCCTCCTCCCTCCCGCCCCACCCCAGCGAGGCGAGAACTGAACCTGCCTCATCCGACGATGCGCGCGCGCTTCCCTTCTCCTGCCCCTGCAGTGACCACTGCCTCTCCCCCTCTTCCTGCTCTTCCTGGCTCCCTCCTCCTCTTCGTCCTCCTTCCTCTTGCTCCTGCACGTCCTCTCGCCTCTCCGCCTCTTCCTCTGACCTCCTCCTCCTCCTCCTTCTCCTCCTCCTCCATTCCTGTTCCTCATAAACAAGAGGCGCGCGTGCCAAGGATCGTACAGCCACGGATGCGGGACAATGGGAGATGGAGATGGCGCCAACTTGCGGTAGTTTCGGGGAAGCGCGCGAGTGCTGCGACACGCTGGCGAGTGACCATAACGGGGGAGCGGCGAATAGCAGCATGGCTGTGTGGACGCAGCGCCAGGTTCGATCTCAAGGCGATCTGAATATGACGGGAGGTTTGCGAGGCTTCAAATGTGTGTTTTATGATGCAGACCACCGAAGCGCTTGGTCCCAAGAGGGGGGGCGCGACGGTATGCGTAGCCAAGATCCGCCTCTGTGTCTTCGGCGTGTTGTGGAGTGCTCCAAGGCTCCTGCAGCCCTGAAAGGCAGGGGGGTTGTAAGGTTCTTAAGGGCCCAGGCCCTTAGTTTCCCAGGCGCTCTTGCGCGCTTTTGCGCGGGCCAGGGGTGTGTCGCGTGGGCTTTTGGGGCGCCACGAGGGCCCGAAGACGGGCCAAGAGGGCCCCAGAGACTCCCAAGACCGTGGAAACGGGCCCCGAGTCGTCGAACGATCGGTCCAAGGCGCCCGAGATGTCCTCCGGACCGCCCAAGATGCCCCCAAGACGCCCCAAGTGGCCTTCAAGAAACCTTCCGAGAGGGCCTCAAGCGACAACAACTACCCGGGGACGTACCCAACCCTTTGTACACATGAGGCGATTATGCATCGGACCGCTCAAGACACAAGCAAGCACTGAAGGATCCGCCGTGCTCTTGAACGCTTCGCCAAAGAACGTTGGGCCAGAGCCAAATGTTTCACATTCGCGGCATCACTCTTAAGAGTCAGATCGTTAGCAGGAACGCGACCGCGAGGGGGCGTGGAAACATACTGATGAGGGGGCACTGGAGACATGCTTCGTGGGAGTAACAGCACATCGCGCTAGGTTATCATTGCAGAACAGCGCCATGCGCACTATGACAGAGCAGCGCCCTGCGCTAAGCGCTGCAAGTGCCCGAGTGCACTACGGACAAGAGGCAACTGAAGAGTCGATGCGGCGTGGGCACATTACAACGCCATGCGCTCCGTGGCGCCCCATCCCGCTGCGATCTGCGATCAGACAGCGCAGCGAGGTCTCATGGTGGTCTCCGTGGGACGTACCTCCGCTGGACCTCCTAGGAGCCCACGAAAATGGCGACAGTTTCGCAGATCGCAGCCCCCCAGGGACGGCGAGGTCTCGTGGTCATCTGCGTAGGACGTACCTCCGCTGGGCCTCCCAGGAGCCCACGAAAGTGGCGACAGTTTCGCAGATCGCAGTCCCCCAGGGGGCGATGAGGTCTCGTGGTGATCTGCGTGGGACGTACCTCCGCTGGGCCTCCCAGGAGCCTACGAAAGCGGCGGCAGTTTCGCCGATCGCAGCCCCCCAGGGGGCGACGAGGTCTCGTGGTGATCTGCGTGGGACGTACCTCCGCTGGCCCTCCCAGAAACCCACGAAAGTGGCGACAGTTTCGCAGGTCGCTGCCCCCCAAGAGACGGGCGAGGTCTCGTGGTGATCTGCGTGGGACGTACCTCCGCTGGCCCTCCCAGATGAAAGTGGCGACAGTTCCGCAGATCGCAGCCCCCCTGGGGACGGCGAGGTCTCGTGGTGATCTGCGTGGGACGCACCTCCGCTGGCGAAGCCAACGCAATTGGCACCGGTCTCGCAAATCGTAGCCCCCCAAGAGATGGCGAGGTCTCGTGGTGATCTGCGTGGGACGTACCTCCGCTGGCCCTCCCAGATGAAAATGGCGACAGTTCCGTAGATCGCGGCCTCTCTGCGGACGGCGAGGTCTCGTGGTGATCTGCGTGGGACGTACTTCCGCTGGCCCTCCTAGCAGCCAGCAACAGTGGCGACAGTTTCGCAAATCGCAGCCCCCCCAGGGGACGGCGAGGTCTCGTGGTGATCTGCGTGGGACGTGCCTCCGCCGGCCGTCCCAGAAGCCCACGACAGTGGCGGCAGTTTCGCAGATCGCAGCCCCCCAGGGGACGGCGAGGTCACGAGGCAGGGAGGAGGAGGAAGAAAACGAGGTGGAGCAGAATGCAGGGAAGATGAGGGATGAGGAAAAGAGGAGCAGCAGGAGGAGGAGGAGGAGGAGGAGGAGGAGGAGGAGGAAAAGGAGGCGGAGGAGGAGGTGGGGACAGCAGTGCTCTATTCTAAACGAGTGCCCAACACATGAGGGTCGGGAACAATAGATACTTGATAGTTTTTGAAATATTGCTCGCTCTTGGAAGCCTTGATGTGAAGAACTTGTTACGTCACTGCGAGCTCATCAGAAACATGGTGTAATTTGGCGCCACGGTCGGTCGGTCGGAATAAGCAGAGGGGGGCCACGAGGGGAATGATGGGGACACGGTGGGCCACGGTCGGGCAGGGAGGGGAACGGTCGGTCGGTCGGAATAAGCAGAGGGGGGGTCGCGGAGGAAAGGGGGGACCGCGGGGGGGCCACGGTCGGGCAGGGGGGGGGCACGGTCGGTCGGTCGAAATAAGCAGAGGGGTGGGCACGGGGTTGAGCAGAGGGGGGGCACGGTTGGGCAGTCGGAATAAGCAGACGGGGGCCACGGGGCGGAGTGGTGCGGGGGGGAACAGGGGGACGGGAGGGGGCACGGTCCGGCAAGGGGTGGTGGGCACGGTCGGTCGGTCGGAATAAGCAGACGGGGGGCCACGGGGCGGAGGGGCGCGGGGGAAGGAGGAGGGGGACGGTCCGGCAGGGGGGGCACGGTCGGTCGGTCGGTCGGTCGGACTAAGCAGACGGGGGGCCACGGGGCAGAGGGGTGGGGGGGGTGCAGGGGGACGGGAGGGCACGGTCGGGCAAGGGGGGGGGCACGGTCGCTCGGTCGGTCGGACTGAGCAGACGGGGGGCCACGGGGCGGAGGGGCGCGGGGGGGCACGGTCGGTCGGTCGGTCGGACGGAGTCCGCAGACGGAGGCCACGGGGCGGACGGGCGCGGGGGGGAACAGAGGGACGGGAGGGCACGGTCGGGCAAGGGGGGGCACGATCGGTCGGTCGGTCGGACTAAGCAGACGGGTGGCCACGGGGCGGAGGGGCGCGGGGGGGAGCAGGGGGACGGGAGGGCATGGTCGGGCGAGGGAAGGGGTGGGGGCACGGTCGGTCGGTCGGTCGGTCGGAATAAGCAGACGGGGGCCACGGGGCGGAGGGTTGCGGGGGGGGCAGGCAGAGCACACGGGGGCGGCACGCATTCCAACGCACATCTAGGCCCAGAGACCCCAGTACACCCAGGCCACACCCAGCACGTATCCCAGCACACGAAGGCAGCACACATCCCAGCACGTATCCCAGCACACGGAGGCAGCACACAGCACTGCACACATCCCAGCACACGAAGGCAGCACACGTCCCAGCACACATCGCAGCACACATCCCAATCCAGCGAACATCCCAGGCATGGTCGGTCGGTCGGTCGAAATAATGCAGTGCGAGATCACACCGGTAGGTATGATAATATCTCCTCCCTGTCTCGCCCCGAGGCCGGTCGAAAAGGCGGGCCGGGCATTTCGCCTGAGACTTCCTTCTCATTTATGCTTATGCAGCTGAGAAGCTGCAACTGTTTCACGGATGGAGGGCGGTTGGTTTTCAAAATGTGGTTCTCGCCTTAGCGCCAGGCGCATTCGTTTCAAAATTCTGCGAGAGTTTCACGGATGGAGGGCGGGCCGTTTTCAAAATATGATTCGCGCTAGCGCCGCACATATTTTATGCATGAGTTTCACGGATAGGGGGCGGTTCCTTTTCAAGAAGTGATTGTGAAGGCCTTGCGGCTGGTGCCGCCGACCCTGAAGGGAGACGACGATGACGACGAGGACGACAACGGCGGCGGCGGCGGCGGCAACGACAACGATGCTGACGTGGGCCAGAGTCCTCAGGGATGGTTCTTGGGGTCTCTGCGGAAGTCTCTCTGTGGGGAGGATTTTTTGGGCCTTTTGGGAGCCTCCTGGGGGCCTCTTGGGAGCCTTTTGAGGGCCTCTTCGGGTTTCCTGGGGACCTCTTGTGGGCCTCGTGGGGCCTCTTGGGAACCTCTTGGGGCCTCCTGGGAGCATCTTGGGGCCGAGGGCTCGAAATGTCCGTTCGGGTCCCCCGTCTGGGCACGCTCTTGGAGCCGTCTTGGGGGCCTCTTGGGCCGTCTTAGAGGCGTTATGGGCTGTCTTGGGGTCCTCTTGGGCTGTTGTGGGGCCCTCTTGGAGGCCTCTTGGGCCGTCTTGGGGCGATCTTGGGGGCCTCGTGCGCCGTTTTGGAGCGGCGGGAAGTGGAAAAGGCGAGAACGCCCAACTCTAAAAAAAGACAATGGGAAATCAATTAATTTGGCCTCTTGGGGCCCTCTCAGGAGTGCTCTTGGAGGCGTCTTGGGGCGTTCTGGAGGCCTCCTGGGCAGTCTGGAGGGCGTGAAGGCGTTTGGCACCGATCGTTGAGGGACTGGGGACGCTCTTGAACCGTCTCGGCGGCCTCTTGGGGCACTTGGCCTGTCGTGGTGCTTTATGAGGCCCTAGTGCCCCTAGAGAGGGATGCGTATCTGACCCCTTTCGGGACTCCCCCGGGACTCCCCCCCTCAAAGGGAAGGGGCTTCCCTTCGACTCGATTACGACATTGCTAGATTTTTCTCTCGCTGACAAGCTTGAGGAGGAGGGTGCAGGGACAGGGGACGACGGAGACGACGACTGACGGAGACGACGACTCGAACAGACAAGCTCCTCACACACGCCGACAGGGTCGGCGGATTATCGCTTTAGCGCCCCGCGCATTCGTTTTAAGTGTTTACAGCAGCTTCAAGGATTCTCATGGTTAACGTTCCGGAAATGGTGTTTTGGCACCATGTCGGCGATGTCGGATTGTCAGGGCGCAACGATTTGGTTGATTCGTGGTGTTCAAGTCCCAGGAGGAATTGTGGTCTGGCACGAGTCAGGATTGTCAAGTTGCAGCAGTAATGGTCATTTGTTGCGTTGACATCCCAGGAATGGTGTCCTGGCACAGTTCAGGATTTTCAAACGGCTGTCTTCAACGGGACACTTCTTCAGTGAACGAATCCTTGTAAGGGGCCTATGAAGAGAGAGCTTGGAGGGAGGCTTTATTGCAGTATCGTTGAGGAGTCTTGGGTTTGCACTGCTCCTCCTGCTCCTCCTCCTCCTCCTCCTCCTCCTCCTCGCCCCACACCTCGGGCCTCCGCCGCGGCCTTCGCCGCCGCCTCCCCCCCCCCTCCCGGGCCCTGCAGTCGGCGAGCGCCTGCCCCCCGCTCGCCGACCCGCGCCCCCGACGAGCGCCTCCGGGTGCGCGCCTTTCCCCGCCCTCGCCAGGTGCGCGCGGGCACGGCGGCGGCAGCGCCGGCTGGGGCGGGCCCCTCGCCGTGTTCCCGAGCGCGGGAGCGACGGCGACGGCGACGGCGACGGCGGCGTCGTCGCTTCGGAGGCGATTGGGCTTCCTCCTCCCCCCCCTCCCCCACCTCCCCGCCTCCCTCCTCCCCCTGGCCCACCTCCTCTTTCTCCTTCTCCTCCTCCCTCCCCCCGTCCCCACCCCCGGGCCGCTTCCCTCCCTGCCTCCTCCCACCCTTCACGAGCGACGAACATATCCAGGATCCGTGTCCGCACCTTCGCGGTCTGGGTTCCGTGGCGCGATCCCGCGGGATGCGTTGTCGCGTGGATACGTTCCGCCCGGGAAAACAAGCCCCCTGTCCGCGGGGTCGCGGCCCAAGGGCCCGCCCCTGGCGCAGCGGATGCGGATATGTTTTTCGCCCATGACACGAGCGCGGAAGCGAGTCGTTCCCGACGGCGACGGTGACGGCGACGTCGTCGCTTCGGAGGTTTTTGGGCGTCTCTGGAGGCCCTCGCCGCCACGGCTGGACGCGGTTCGGAGAATTGGCCAGGATGGCGGGTTTTAACATGGCGACGGCGCCGTGAGCAAAACCAGGCCAGCAGAGCAGATACTTTCTTTGAGCTTGGGCCTCCAGGGGCCCACATCGGGCCAAGTGGTGCAGAGAAAGCCACCGCGGCGCGAGACTCGTGCCGAAGAGGGGCCGGGAGCACTCCAGCCCCGCGGTTTGAAACAATGAAGACGTCGGAGGCTTGGACCAAATCGAGTTAAGGCACCCCCGCTCGCACGAGGGCGGGCCCCTGAAGGGGGGGAAGGAAATCAGGTGCCAGTGCGCCGCGGATAGGGTGGCCGGCTTCGGGGCCAGCTTGGGTTCGGGCTGGGTGAAGCAGCTCTCATCTCTCCGTGAGGTCGTCCGCCCCGAGGTGGGGCAAGGTCTGGACCGCAGAAGGCATCTGCACACCACCGCCACCATGCCTGGTCAGGGCCATCCCAGGCCCTTGGCATGGTGCATGCGAAGACCCTCCTGGCCTCGGACACAAGGACGTGTACATCAGGCTGTGACCCAGTGTGGCCCTAGCCAGGCCCCGTGGTGGGGCATAGGCGCCTCCTGCGCAGTTCCACAACCCGACGGCAGTGCAGGCCGCTGGAAGGTTTGCGGAGGAGGCCTGTGGAGTGAGAGCTGGGCCGGCGGCAGAGAGAGAGAGAGAGAGGGAGAGGCTGCCGCGTCGCCCTCCGCTCTTCTCCCTCCTCTCTCCTCCCTCCCTCCCCGCTTCCTCCCTCCTCCGTCCCCCCTCCCCCTCCCTCCGTCCTCCCTCCCTCCTCCTCCCTCCTCCCTCCTCCCTCCTCCCCCCTCCCCCCTCCCTCCTCCTCCCTCCTCCCTCCTCCCTCCCTCCTCCCTCCTCCCTCCTCCCTCCCGTCCCTCCTCCTCCTCCTCCCTTTCCCCCTATCCTTCTCCTCGTCCTCCCTCCTCGTCCTCCTCGTCCTCCTCCTCCTCCTCCTCCTCCTCCTCCTCCTCCTCCTCCTCCTCCCTCCTCGTCCTCCTCCCCTTGCTCGCGGCGCACTCTCCTGCACGTTGGCGAGGAGGAGGATCGAAGTTCGACGAGCGAAGGTCTTTGGCGATTTTGGTTCCTCTGAGGCCTTCAGAGGATCAAAGAACCTTTGGCGAAGTGTTTCTCTCAACCCCGGCGTTCTTCCATCGATTTTGGCTTCCAGGGGCCGTTTTGGGCCCCAGGCCGTTCGGAAACGGTCTGGGATGAAAGACGGGCCTCAGACCAGGGGTCTGGCCTCTACGTGCCCCACGGGCCGAAAAGAGGGCTCCGCAGGAGGCCCGGGCCTGCCGCCAGAGTTTTTCGCCAGGTCTCCGCGCGTAGATCTCCGGAGCTCTCCGCGAGAGGTCGCCGCGGAGGCGTCGGGGGGAAGCAGCGGCAAGAACATGCGGAGACCTCGGTCCTCGATTCTCGAAGCTGGGCCACTGCGGCAAGCAGGTCCCAGATCGTGGGCTTATATGTTTTCACGGCCACCCCATACAGACCAGGGGCGGCTGACCTATATGGCAGTGGTGTGCTGGGGGCCCTCGGCGCCTCGCATGGCAAAGCACCACTATAGGTCAGCAGCCCCTGGCCTGCAGTGGTGGTAGTGGGAAGTATAGGGCCGCCACCAGGACGCCAGAAAGTACGGGAAGGTGCAAGCATCGCTCGGGGCGACAGGGCTGCGGGCCCGCCCCAGAAGGGGTGTCCGCGCGTGCAGTGGGGGGGCCGCGGCGCCTTCCTACTCCCAGAAACCTCCGTCCTGCTCGTCGTCCTCCTCATCCTTGTCCTTCTCCCCCTCCTTCTCCAAGTCTTCCCCCTCCTCCTCCTTCTCCTCCCCCCCCTTCTCCTCCTCCTCCTCCTCCTCCTCCTCCTCCTCCTCCGCCTCCTCCTCCTCCTCCTCCTCCTCCTCCTCCTCCTCCTCCTCCTCCTCCTCCCTCCTCCCTCCTCCCACCTCCAAGTCCCCCTCCTCCAAGTCCCCCTCCTCCTCCAAGGCCGCCTCCTTCCCGACCTCCTCCTCCTCCTTGTCCTCCCCCCCCCATCTCCCCCCCCCCCGTCCTTGTGCTCCTGCCCAGACCGCCGATGTCGTGAACAAGCCAGCACGTGTTTCTCTAGTGTTTTGTCTTTCGTTTCACACTTATGTTGTTCTCCAGCTGCCTGCGGTAAGTCCCACAAACGTGCCAGCCCAGCATTTTGGGTGGCAACTGTTCGAGGGGACATGGGAGGCCGCCACGTGTGGCACCTCGTGCCTCCAGGGTTGGCATAAGCGTGATGGTGATGGTGGCGCTGATGATGCTGATGATGATGATGATGATGATGATGATGATGATGATGATGATGATCATGATGATGATGATGATGATGATGATGATGCGGATTGTGATGATGATGATGATGATGATGATGATGATGATGATGATGATGATGAAGATGCGGCAAGACGGCAAGACGGCGGTGCAGCCCGCGAGCTGGAGCGCGCAGTGGAAGCTTGGCCACATTGCTAAAGGCATGTTGACATCTTGATTTTCTCTCTGCTCACGCACCGTCTGGTGCAAGGCTTGCTCGTTTGTTCGATGCCGACGATGATGAGAATGATAATGATGATGATGATGATGATGGTGGCGGTAGTGATGGTGATGGTTCGGGTGAAATGCTGACATCGTTGATGATGTTGTTTATGATGGGACTTATACATAAGCTGAGGATGAAGATGTGGATGCCGATGTTCATTCTGATTGTGGTGTTGTTTATGATGATGCTGGTGGTGATGACGGTGGTGACGATGACGATGACGATGATTGATGCTGCTGCTGATGATGCTGCTGCTAATGATCATGATGGTGATGATGGTGCTGATGACGATGATGATGCTGCTGATGGTGATGATGATGATGATGATGATGATGATGACAATAATGTTGATGACGGTGATGATGATTGTGGTGGTGGTGGTGATGTTGATCGTGATGCTGCAGATGATTCTGATGATGACGACGATGTGTATGATTATGATGCTGATGATGGTGTTTGCGCTTATGCTGATGACGAGGGTCATGATGATGCTGCTGATGATGGTGATGTTGATGATGATGGTGGTGGTGGTGGTGATAATGCTAATGATACTGATCATGATCGTACTTATGCTGATTACGATGTTGATGCTGCTGCTGTCGATGATGATGATGATGCTGATTGTGATGATTATGATGCTGACGATGCCGATGATGCTGCTGATGATGATGCTGCTGCTGATGATGATGATGATGATGATGATGGTGGCGATGATGATGATGCTGCTGATGATGCTGATGATGCTGCTGCTGATGATGATGATGATGATGATGATGATGATGATGATGATGAGGATGATGATGATGATGATGATGATGATGATGATGATGATGATGATGATGATGAGGCGGAGGAGGTGGAGAAGGAGGATGAGAAGGACGCGTATGAACAGGAGCAATATGAGGAGGAAGAGGAAGGCCGTCACATGTGACACCTTTCGCCTTCTCTTTGTGAAGAGATCTTATGGAACTCGTTTGGGCCGTCTTGGGGCCCCCTTGGCCTTCTGTATGGCAGTCTTGGGGGTTGGGGCCTTCTTGGGCCGTCTTGGGGCGCTCTTGCGCCGTGTTGGGGCTCTCTTTGGCCGTCTTGGGGCCCTCTTTGCCGTATTGTGGGTGTCTGGGGGCCGTTATGGGGCCGTCTTGGGCAGTCGCAAGGCTTTTTAAGGCCGTCTTGGGTTCACGGGAGGCCCTCTTGGGGTGTTTTGGGGCCGTCTTGGATGCCTCTTGGGCCATCGTGGGACCTCTGTGGGCCATCTTGGGACCCTTCTGGCCCCTTTTGGAGGCATCTCGGGCCGTCTTCCAGTCATCTTGGGCGGCCTTGGGGTCTTCTCGGGCCGTCTTCGAGGCATCTTAGGCCATCTTGGTGTCCTCGGTTGTCGGCCTGGACTGTTGTGGAAGCTCGGGACGCGGACACATGTATTTTTACGAGGGACCGTTGAATCAAGAACGCGGGCCCATCTTTTTTTACAAGGGATCGTGGCCTCGGGGGGGGGGAGTGTATGCGACTGGACGCGGGTAGGGTTGGGGGGGTGGGCGGTCGCGCGCGGATGTTGAATCACTCCGCAACCTTCATCACCGACACGTGGACACCATCGTCGTCATCGCCGTGGTCAACGTCGGTGCCGTCATTGGTCTTGCCGTCGTCATCGTCATCATCTTCACCAGCATCGCTACCATCGTCATCGTGTCTGCCGTTGTCGGCGCCGCAATGATACCGCGCCCACCCGAGTCACCGACTCGCACTGGATTGGCCGCGTGTTTGCGCGGCCTGCGAGACGCGCTGGGAAGTTCGAAGCGGTCAGCGCCACCGCGGCTGCGTCGGTCGCTCTGCGCGCGAGCCTGCGCGCGCTCACGTGGCCGCAGGGATGCGCCAACCAACGCCAAGCAGTCATCACAATCGTCGCCGCATGGGTTTTTCAAACCAACCTGCGGGTGGGAAGGT